TATGATGCTTCTGAGCAGCTGGTGTCACTGCACGAGTGGGGTAGCATTTTGTCTTAATGCCACTCAGATTGTCCCAGAACTGAAGAGGATGCTTCTGTCTCTCCTTGTGAGAGCTTAGAGTCAGCAAGGAGGTGAAATGGTGTATTGTTGGCTGTTCCCTGGGGGCCTGTGCAGCTCCTTTTTACTCAGCTGTTCTGGGGACACAGCTGAGCCCCTCTAAGAACCCAATCAAACCCTGGATGCTGGTGACATCTTCCTGGGCACCAAAAATCTGCCTCTGCAGAGTGTGATGCAGCACACTCATTTCCTCTCTGCGTGTGCTTCTGCAGACATCCTGATTGTGAAGCTGCGGAAGGGGCAGGAGCTGCGCCTGCGGGCCTATGCCAAGAAGGGCTTTGGCAAGGAGCACGCCAAGTGGAACCCCACGGCCGGCGTGGCCTTCGAGTACGACCCCGACAACGCGCTGAGGCACACGGTCTACCCCAAACCCGAGGAGTGGTATGTCCTGCTGTCTGTCTGCAGGGACTGGGAAGGGTTTTCCAGCAGGCCACAACTTATATTTTAGCCCTGGGGATAATTTGGCTCAGGAGCGTGCCTGCAGCATCCCCTTGCACAGACTCTGCTCCTGGGGTTGGGTAGCAAGGCCAGTCACTTGTTGGCAGCTGCATGCAAGGTGGACTGGTTTGGGGTCATCTTTTGTCCTCCCTCATGTACCATCACTGCTGGTTTGCCTTGCTTTCGTGCCCTTTTTCACCACTTCTTGCTGATTTTTTTCTTCCCTGTGCAAGTGTTTTGTAGGTCAGAGTGAGGTCTGAGGAAGGAACAGATCCATGTGAGATGAAAGAAGTTGCTATGAGAGCAAAGAGTGGAAGGTTGGGTTGCAAGACTGATTTTTCAGCCTGGCTTGAGGAAGCCCAGTATGGCTGTGATTTAACGCATACATCTTCTCACTCCTGGAGCCTGAGCTCTGGCAGGGTTTCCCTCTCTGGCCCTTTCCTCTCCTCTGAAATACCATTCTGCACAAGTTGCACACAGCTTCTCATCCAAAAGTGACATGATTTTACTTTTGGAAAGATGCTGCCCTGCTTTGGCCTGGGTGAGGACTTTATCCAGCATCACTTTTCATGCATGCTGCTCACCTGAGCTGCTCCTGGCTCTGTATCCCAGTGATCAGCTAGCAGACATCCTGTCACTGAGCACTCTGGAGCCAGCAGCATAGTGAGGAACCCAGGTGCTTTAGGCAGGGCAAGCTGAGAGCAAGGACTGGACAGGGTAGTGGATGCTCTGCTGTAAACATTGATCAGTGGCAGGCTCAGAAACCTGTGGCATACAACAGACAGGGCACCAGGAAACAGTTTTTGAGAAGTGCTAGGCAAAATATATGTAAAAGTTGGAAAAATCCCAAAAGAGGATTGATATTGGAGCTGCCAGTTCCTGATGATATGTCTGTCTTTTCAAGTTCATCTGACCCCCTGTGAAGAAAATAGAGAGCCAAAGCCTTCTGCTGTCCAAGGCTAGCTGTGGTTTTTGGTTTAGCTTTTCATGCTAGTTGCTTTTTGAGGCTGTTGGCAGAGCACTGGCATGCAGCTGGACCCTCCAAACAGCTGTCAGGGTCATGGAAACCTCTGCACTATTTTGGTCTTGGGTGGTTCTGCAAGTAACAAGAAATCCCACCTTCATTAACACTTTATCTCAGTGGTTTTTACAGGCAGAGGGTTTGTTTGAGAAATAGAGTTTTATTTCAGGCAGCTGATTACAGGGTGCTGGGATCAGTGTTTCTGGGCATTGCTGGGGCAGAGGAAAGCCAGCAGGAGACCTTGGTGGGTACAGGATTTTCTGTGCTGGCTTTTCAGACAGCTCAAGGCTTTAGGTTTTCTTACATTGATTAAGTGGTTCCACAGAGTCTCTGGTGTGGTGCTCTATAAACCAAGGGATGCAGTGGGTAAAAAGATGTGTTTGCCTAACTGATGCACAGGTATTGCAGTGATTTTGGTAGAGGAGTGGAGGTGCAGGACATCAGGATGGAGCTCACTGATGCAGGTGGTGTCTGTTGTACAGGAGATTTTTTCCCTGCTGGGTCCAAGCCAACTGTGCCTCACAGACTTGAGTGCTGAGTACTCCAGTGCTTTCCTGACCCAGTGGGAAGTAGAAAGAAAAGATAACCCAAGGTCCATTACTCCATAAAAGCATCCAGGCTCTATAGACACAGTCCCTTCAGGAATCAACATCCCTTCACTGTAAGCACCTGCCAGATTGTACCAGTGTAGGTGGATGGAGCCACAGTACAGGGCTTGCTGAGTTTGGGCAGAGCAGGGCTGATCCCCTTCCTGTGCTGCTGGATGATTCTGTGGCATTAATGAAGAGCCACAAAGCACAGTGTGCAACTGAGCTTCTCTGGTGCTTGGTGCTGATGACCACCCTGTTGTGTGCTGCACGTGAGCCCCAGTGCTCACTCATGGGGCCAAACTGAGTGCCTGGGCTCTGTGGAGCCAGGCTGGAGCAGGGGCTCTGTGTAACCTCTCCTGCTCTCTGATTCCAGGCCCAAGAGTGAGTACTCGGAGATCGACGACGAGGATGCTCAGGCTCCCTACGACCCCAACGGGAAGCCAGAGAGGTAGGGAGCTGAATGCAGTGCTGCAGCTGGAAGGTGGGGTGACTGGCTGGGTGCATCTCATAGGCTCTCATTAATAGAAGAGTGTTTACACTGTGCTGAAATTGCCAGCCCAGGGAGCTGACATTCCCTGAAAAGCAGGGCAGGAGGTGGCGTTAAGTGATGATATACCTAGATGTGGCAGGTTTTCCCCTCTGGGAGATACTAGACAGTTCTCCTGAGTTCATGTTGCCAGGGAGGGCGGTGCACACTCAGTGAGGTGTGAGGCCTGCAGGGGAAATACCCTGGCTTAAGATATTCTTTCACCTGTGTGTATCTCATGCTCTGGTTGCTGGTGTTATTTGCACTGCAAAAGTGCCTCAGCCAGCCTTAGTCCCTGGCTTGGGGCTGCTGGCTCACAGGTCACGTTGCTGAACAGAAATCAATCTCAGAAGTGCTCTTGCAGCCTGTGAAGTTGTGAGTGTTGGTGTGATGGTTGTAGAGGGGCAGCACTGGCTGCTGCCTGCTTGGGAGGTGAATGATGATCATGATGGTTGGGATTCCAGGCAGATCTCCCTGCTGTGGGTGTGGATGGGCTGGAATGATGTGCAGTCTGGGTTTGCAGAGGTGGTGGTGACTTAACCCCCGCCTTGTAACCTCAGGTTTTATTACAACGTGGAGTCCTGTGGCTCCCTGCGCCCTGAGACCATCGTCCTGTCTGCACTGTCCGGCCTCAAGAAGAAACTGAGCGACCTCCAGACACAGCTGAGCCACGAGATCCAGAGCGATGTCCTCACTATCAACTGAGGTGGCCCTTGCAAGAGAATACTGTAGCTGTGAGTGATGCCTGGCTGAGATCTGGGGAGAGGCTTTTACCTCCCCATCATGTCCCTCTGCCTTTCCTGGCCCAGCACTTGGTTGGTGACACCTCTTCCCTGGCCCTCCTTCCCAGGGAAAAGCCATTGTGATGTGGAAGGTAAAACAGCAAGGCAATCAGTCAGTGAGCATCTTAGCTGGGACAGGCTTTGTCTCCAAATTATCCTGGAGTTTTAGTTCTGGTGTTGGATGTTGGCCATGTGTGTGTTACACAACCCTACCTTATTTACGTGTCCATTTACTGTGCTGAATAAAGCCTTACCCCCAAATTTTTCTGTTATCCCTGAAAGCTCATGCAAGGCTGCTGGAGGAGATGTCACATCATTTACTTCTCTCCAATAGACATTAACTTAATGAGATCTGCTTTGGAGGGAGCACTGCTCGCTGATGCTGATTGCTGCTTGTGACATTATCTCCTGAGGAGAGCAGCACCCTCCTGCAGGCAGCCCGGCGTTCATTGATCCAGGGCTGTGTGTAAAGCAGATGTTTGAGGCTGGGGTGGGCGAGAGCTGCAGAAGGCAGCGCTGCAGGGGAGCCCAGCTGGGCCAGGCAGGCAAAGCTGTACTTACAGAATCCTCTGGAACAGACTCCACCCCTGTGCTGTATAACCCTTTCCTGAGGAGCTGGGTGGCACATGGGCTGTCAGTAATGCCCCTGGCTGATATATTTCTTTGTGCCCACAGCCCCCAGTGTGTGCTGGGCTGGAGTTAGGTGCAGGTCCCATGCCCTGACCCCACTGACAGTGGCTGAAAGCCACTTTGTCACCCCTCCTCTTCCTTCATCACTGCCCAGCATGACTTGGGATGAGCTTCTTGGTGACACTTTCCTGGAGAGACCTTCAGCTCCTGTACCACGGGGGCTGGGAGGGAGGGAAAGGCCTGTGTCCCTGTACTCATCCTGGTGTGGATGGGGATGGTTCAGGGGGTGGTGCTAGGGTCACACTGAGCTGGGGAGAGCAGCCCATGTCAGCATTGCCTTCCCCTCTGGGCAAAAGCTGCTGCAACCAGGCTGCTGCTTCCATTTCCTTGCCATGGCAGAGGTGGCTGCAGCATGGCTCCCCATCCCTGGAGGGATCACTGTGCTGGCTGGCATAGCTGTCTTACCCATGAGGCCAGTGCTGCCAGACAGTCATGGCATGGATAGCTTACCTGGCACAGCTCTGGGAGAGCTGGGGGATGGTGTGCCTTGAAACTCCTTCACCTGTGGACTTGGAGCCACCACTGGCCTGGCACATCCCGAGCCATGGGCAGCTCGAGGTGAGGGCGACAGAGGGCTGCTGGCATCTTGTTCCACTCAGGGTTGTTCGATGGAGAGTGGCAACTCCCTTTACCCTTCTTCCTATCCCAGTGGTTTTAGGGCTTCACTTGAAATGTATTGGCCATGGCTGGAGGCAGAACAAAGCCCTGAGCCAAGCATGCTGCCAGGAACCTCAGGAAATCTCCCCCCATCAGCATTTTTCTCTCTGGCAGGCACTACTCCCACTCGCGCTTCCCGAGCGCGCTTGGATGGAACAGACAAACAGGAAGGGTGGATGTGGATAAGGGTTGTTTATTCATTGAGCAACTCCTTAAAAAACAGAAAACCCAAACATTTTTGGTAACAAATGTTAAATCTTTTCCAGATGAGGTGTGTAGCCAGGAAAAGAGGGCAAGTTCCACCTCTCACCCCAGGGAGGACACACTGCTGGGCAGTGCTAGGATCCAGAGCCCCTCTGTGCCCAGCCATGCTGCGAGGAGCAGCCTTTCTCTGTCCCCATGTCCCCTCAGCCACAAGCTACACCACCCTGAAACACAGTATTTACAGACCACAGATTCCCACATCACAACACTCCCTGTGCCCAACATATGGACCTGGAGCTTTAAAGGGCAGAAATAAAACCACCAAGCATCCAATCCAGACAGAAAGAAGACTCCAAACACCAAGGTTTGCACGGCAATAAAAAGATAGCCCTTCTAAAGGAGGTCAATAAATAGGAGAACTAGAAAAAAATCAATTGCTTTTTAAGTTCAGCACATAAAGCCCAGTTCCACCCCCAGTGGGTGAGGAGGAAGTGAGGGCTGTGGGAATGCACAGAGGAATGTGGCTCTCTCCCCCCATCAGCATGGGTTTCTCTGCTCTGGGGCTTCTCATATTCACAAAGCTGCCCCTTGAGAGACAGATGCTACTGGCCAAAACCAGTCCCATGGTTGCCCACCAGCACATAAACCAGGGGCATGGCAGGGGGACACAGCTGTGGGAGAAGTGAGGGGTGTTGGGGTGGGAGATGCCAGGGAGCTCGACTCTGCCTGGCTGCTCACCCCAGTCAACCCCCCTGGAAGGAAAACCAGTTTCTCCTGAGACATATCAATTCTACAGCGAGCATTTAAATAGCTTGAAGAAGTGCAAAAATCAGCTCAGGGATGGCAGGGTGTCCTCAGAAGCACCCTGCTCTTCAGGGAGGGGTGGGACCCTGCACCATCAGCCTGACACAGCTGCATCCTCCGACACTGCTCCATGGCCATGGCAGAGTGATGCTCCATCCTTCCTGCCACGCAGAAAACTCCAAATTTCTTGACCCCCCCCAACTCTCTTCACCTCCCAGTTGGATCCCTAAGAGTCAAAAACCTCTGGGCATCTGCCCAAGGGCTCTTCAGCAGCCACCACATTTGCATTCATGTGATAAGGAAATATCTCTTACAATACAGGAATTCAATATATATTTGAAGTCAGTTGAGGCTGAGCCAGCCATCGCCTCCACTAACACCAGACCAGGGCGTGAGCCAGTGCCTGCTTCCTAGTCTTGGCACCAAGGTGCCCCAGCTCAGTCTCCTGGAGATTCTGAGGGGTCACTGCCTGCGTCCTTGCCACCCCTTGGAGAAGAAAAAAGGGACCCCTGCCACAGTCCCCCCACACCAGCTCATGGGGAAGATGTGGGCTCCCTGTCTTCAGGCTTGTCGCTTTTGGAGGACTTTGGCTTCAGCAAGATGAACCTGTTGAGGAGGTCGGCGTCTGAGCTGGCCTGGGCACCTGCATACGCCTCCCCTGGGGACAAAACAGAGGGTGGGCTCACCTGGTGGGGAAAGCTCTGGGGGCTGGAGGAGCAGCATCCCCTCGGTGTGGGGTGGGGACACTCACCAGCATAGCTGGAGGACTCGGCCATGTTCTGGGAGCCAGTGATGTGGTGCCAGTAGGCGCTGCGGGGCAGCATGGTCGTGGGCGTGCAGGGGTAGGAGAAGTGCTCAGTGCCCTTGTTCAGCAGCTGCAGTGGGTGGAGGGGAGGAGGGTGACACAGGGCCCCCAGAGTCCCCCAGCTGTGTCCCCCCTCAGCACGGGCTGGAGCTCACCCTGACGTTCTTCTCCATCTCCAGCAGGACCCTCTTGTGCTGCTCAGCGATGGCCAACGTGGCGCTGTGCACGCGCTGGTAGATCTGCTCACCCTCCTGCGTCTGGAAGGTGTAGAGACCTTCTCCCGCATCACACATCCTGTGGGGACAGGGCACAGGATGTCACCAAGGTCTTCAAGCCAAGAGATGATGAGCCAAACCCATCCAGATGACAGCTGGCACAGCTTCCCACACTGTTAGAGCTGTGCCTAGGCTCCCTTCACGGTGCTGATCTGGGATCAGAACCAGCTCCAAGCACGGGCACACTGTACAGCCCACGGCCATCACCCCAGCCTCAGGCCTGCCCTGTGGTGATGCCAGCAGTGCCACTGCCTGCTGCATCCAGCTGGAGGAGGGCACAGAGCTGTGATCCCTGTCCTGGCAAGGGTGACATCTCACCGTCCGGCCTCGAAGGTGAAGCGGGTGGCGTCGCGGCCGTAGCGGCGCAGGGAGCAGAGGGGCCAGGAGACCAGCTTCACCCGGGGGTTGTGCGTGTCCCAGAGGTAGATGTTTTCGTGGGTGATCTGCAGCTTGCACTCGCCATAGACGTCCAGGTTGGGGCAGGGGAGGAGGAACACGTTGAACCGGTCTGGAAAGGGGGAAAAAAAAAATAGAAAATAAAATAATCAGCGGGGGGTGCAGCGAGGCGGAGCCCCGGGCGAGCACTCCCCGCCGCGCTCACCCGTCTGCTCGCACTGCACGCCGGGCGCCAGCAGGTCGGGCTCCCCCAGGCTGATGTCGTTCAGGCGGGCGCCCAGGCACTCCACCGACAGCGTCTTGTACCACTCCTCCGCCTCCAGCTCTGCAAGGCACCACGGCAGCCCCTGGGCGACCCTGGCCACGCCGGGGTGCCCCACCCAGCACCCTCAGCCCGGCTCCCCTGGGCGCTGCCCCGCACCTGAGTCGCAGGTGAAGGTCCGGGCGGAGTCGTCGGTAAAAACGATGGCCACCGCCTGTCTCTTGGTCTCCTTGGGCAGCCGCGTGATGCACTTGACATTGCTGATCTCGGTGACCTGCAGAGGAGTTGGGGGTCACCGAGGGCTGCTCCCAGACCCTGTTCCCTGCTGCACGCAGACCCTGACACCTGCAGCACCCAGACCCAGCTGCATCCCCGTCCGGAACGCATGGGCTGACCCACCCAGCGAGTTCAGGCAAGCAAGGACCTGCTCTGGCACGGGTCCCCAAGCAGCGGGCAGCACCCCAGCACCCCTCCAGCGCACCCCCTCACCTTGGGGCATCCCCGCAGGCACGCCGACTTCTCATCCGGGTACTTCTCCAGGCGCTGGGGCCCTTTGCTGGAGGATTTGCGGAAGACCAGCCAGCAGCGCCGGTAGATCTGCCGGACAGAGAGCTCGGCGGCTGCTCGCTGCAAGAGGGGCTCCCTGTCCCCACCACATCCCCCTGTCCCCATCCCCAGGACCCGTGCCTGGTTCTGCTGACCCTGCTGGCCTGGGGACAGGAGGGGATGGTGGGGACAGGGCTATGCCGCCCGCCAGTGCTAATTACAGAGCTTAATTAATGAACACAGACAAAGCTCCCAAGGGGACCGCTGTTCTGGCATTTCCCCGTCCCCTCTCCTACACTCCCTGCCTCTGAGGGTGGTGGGGGCACCGTCCCCAGGCATGTCCCCCCTCCCTGGATCCCGCTCCCTCTTTGTTCTCCCTAATTAGCATGAAATTACCCAGCATGCTCGTTGCTGCCGCTCCAAACCATGGAGATGGGCGACCAAACCCCCTGACCCCCCACCTATGGGTGCTGCACTCCCACACCACCCTAAATTGCACCCAGCAGCTCCAGCCCCTCCCGGTGTGGGGCATCCCCGGTGCCAAACTGTGTGTGCAGGGAAACTGAGGCACGGGGGGGGAAGGGAAGGCTCACAGACATTCCCCAAGCCCTGGGTGACCTGGGACAGGTGAACGGGTGTTACTCCGTGCAGGATTCGGCCGGTGCAGGTGCTGGACCCCTGGGGCTGCTGGGTGATTTGGGTACCAACAAGTGGCCCGTCCCTGCCATCCCCCAGTCCTCCACCACCACAGCCCCCAAAAGGCAGCTTATTCAACCCCAAAACAGGGGCACAGGAAGCCACATAAGTGACCTGTCCACGTCACCTCACTGGGAAAGCAGCACCCCAAATCCATGGGTGTTCCTCCCCACATCTCCCCAATCCCCAAGATCCCCACTCACCCCCAGCTTCTTGCTCTTCATCCTCACATAGCCCTGCTTGATGATGTCGTTAAAATTCGTCGCCATGGCGATGGCTCGATAGGGTAGGGGATATTTTGGGAGGGGGGGGGCTGCCTTCACCTTCGCCCCCCCCTCTCCATCCTCTTCCTCCCTACCCCTCCTGTCTCACCACCGGCCCGGCTTGGTGCTAGCAGTGTCCCCCATGCTGGCTGGAAAAGAGAAATGACAGATCGACGGGTGACATCTTCCTCGTCCTCCTCCCCCTCCTCCTTGTCGTCCTCCTCCTCCTCCTTCCCCTCCTCCTCCTCCTCTTCCTCCTCCCTTCGCTGCCTGAACCATCGAGTGGAACAGTCCGGTGTTAACCCCTGCCAGCACGGTGGAGCCAGGGTGGCACAGACAAGTGGTCAGTCCCCTGCCGCCAGCTCCAACACGTGTCCTGGGGGACACCCGCAGCAGACCTCGCCCACAGGTCTCCATCACCTCCTCCTTCCTCCCAGGCTGCTCGCTTGGGCAGCAACATGGCCCCGGCCCTTGGGCACGGGCTGGGTTCAGCGGGAACGGCCAGGCCGGCTCCGCTCCGGGGTGTTTCAGCCTGCACCGGCTGCCAGAGGGACCCCGGCTTCCAACCTCGCAGCTCCGGAGTCACCCAGCCTCTCTCCGGCCCTCCCACGACCTCGGCCTCGCTCAGCCTCGTCCCTGCTGGTTCCCCCGGCCCCCACCGGTGGGACCAGGTGGGGACCAGGTTCCTTTCCCAGGTGGAGAAGTCCCAGGTAGGAGGCAGTAACCCAGGAAACAGAACAGGGCCATCCCCGGGGATGTTCCTCCATGCCAGCGACACCCTGGTCCCCAGAGACCAGCACCGTGGGGAATTTCACTGGGACAGCGCCTTGGGGACCACCCGCTGTCCGAGGGGCAGCGCTCCCTGTGAGGGGAATATCCCCCACTCCCCATCCCCATCACCCACCCACGCACACCCCAAGGGAACTCAGAGCTGCCGGGGGGCACCTCCTGCCCGCTACCCCCGAGCTGTCACCGCGGCCCCCGACTCCCAACCACCATCACACCCCGCTCTCCCACCGGGACGTTCCTCCGGGCGTTGTCACCTCCCGGCCGTTCGCCCCCGACACTTGTCAGCCCAAAGCTCGCTCAAGCCCCGTCCTGTGTCACCCGTTCCCTCGCCGGTCCCCCCGCCTTACCCGGCTCCCGGTGCGAGCGGAGCCGCCGGAGCCGCCGCGTCCTGCGAGCCCCGGAGCCGCTCGGTCCCGCCCCGCCCGGCCCCGCCCCGGTACCCTCCCTCCGCCCCGGTACCCTCCCTCCACCCCGGGCTGCCCAACCGGAGCCACAACCGGCCGCCCTGCGAAGAGAATTCCATCATTCGGCTTCAGAGCGAGCACCCCGCAGCGACGGGCGGCGGCGGCAGCAGCCTCCTGTCCGTCCCTCGGCTCAGGTGTCACCGCATCCCCGCGCTGTGCCCCCCAAACTGGTTTCCAGGCCCCTCGCTAAAACTGGCCCCAGGCATCCCCCACCCCCGCGGCCTCACTTGTTGGGCTATAAAAATATGAATAATCGCTGGAAATAAAAGGGCATTAAAAAAAAAAAAAAAAACATGAGCAGCAAAGAGCTGCGCTTTTAGCCAATCAATTAAAAGGCAGAGCGAGGGGATTAGCTCACCGAAATATTAATTTTTAATGAGGTTGTGTCTGAGCGCCTCCAAAGCCCCCAAGGCCCTGCGCTGGGGGGCTGAGCTGAAGGGGCTGTGCTGGGGTGATCAGCACCCTCAGGTGAACACCTCTGGGTGAACACCTTTCACTGCACAGGCCCAGGGACAGGCTTTACCCCTGCACTGGGCTGGTCTCCAGGCATGGGCACAGGGATGCCAGGGGGTGACATCCTGGTCTGTGAGTCCCTGGTGAAGAAATGCTGATTCTCCCTGATGTGTCCCCTCCCCGCCCTCACTCCTGTGTGGGGACAGACCAGCGCTCACACCACCACCAGAGCCTAGGCCCATCTGGGCTCTGTATTTATAATAAAAAATCATATACAAATACATACATATATATAATATATATAAAAAGAAGTGGGCAGTTTGTGACTGCCAAGCTTGGTGCTTCTCTTTGCCTGTGCCTCCTCCTCCTGGGCTGCTCCGTGATGCTGGCTTTAGTGGCCACATCAGTGTTCCAGGAGATGCCAGTGGCCGAAGGGGCATCCAGTACTGTCCAAGAAGCAGCAGGTTTTAGAGCACCCGGGGCAAATTTCTCCCCACCGCTCTGTGCCTCAGTTTCCCCATCTATACAAGTATCACCGCACAGCTGGGCCCCGTGGTGAGATGCACTTGAAGGCAGAGGACTGATGTGGCACGTCCTGCGGTGGTGGCACTGGCCCTGGGCTCTAGGGCACCTGTATCTGCAGGTCCTCGTCCTCGTCGGGGTCACTGGTGCCGTCCCCGGCGTCGTCGGGGCCGAAGCGGGCGCTGCGCATCTTGCCGAACAGCGGGGCGCTCTGCTGGCGCCGCAGCCTGCGAGGGACAGCTGCTGACATGGGGGTGGCAGCATGGCCCTGGGGGGGCCCTGAGGCCGAGCCCATTCCCCTGCACCCCTAGAGGATGACTGCACCCCAGAGAGATTCCTTCCTGCAGCCCTCACCGAGCTCTGGGCGCAGGATGAGCCCGTGCAGCCCGGGGCCAGCACGGAGCTGGGAGCTGTGATGGTGCTCAGCACAAGCGGGGCACAGGCTAAACCCCTCCGTGGCTGTGCTGGGCAGCACAGACCCAGACAGGACTGCAGAGAAGGGAGGTGTCATCCCCCTAAACTGAGGAACCCTCAAAACCCCCAGGAGTCCCCATTCCCAGGAACGTGTGGTGGTTTTGGTTCTTGCCCTTGTGTGAAAATTCATCAAGGAAATGTTATGACCCAAATTTGAAATCCAAAGGCCAAGGATCCAGTGAGATCCAACCAGCCCACCACACTTTACTGGAAAGCATGAATTATTTAGGGTTGAGTGCACAGGGAGTCTGGGGGGGGGCGATGAATCCTCCATTATGCTTCCATGATTTAATGCAGATGTCCCAATAAAATAAAGGATGATTATAAACATCCCCCCCAAGCACCTCCTGGAGCCACAGCATCGATCCCATGGCCATTTCAGCTCTTCAATGCTGGAGAGGCAAAGCAGGGCCGGGGAAAGTTTTAAGGGCAAGAAAACTCAGCTCCCACCTCCCCAAACTGGTGTGGGATGCTAGCAGCCTGCTCTGCCCGTGGGTACTAGTGGGTGCAACATTAAGCAGCATAAAACTGAGCTGTGCTGGTCTCTGGGCAGACTTGTGCTGGTTTAACTGGGAGGTGAATGCCACCCAGCTCAAGGTGGGGTGAAGACTGCTCAGAGGAGGCTGCGCCCTTCCCGAGGATGTCAGAGGCACTTGGGCCATGCTTAGCCCGGGGTTCAACCAGGCAGCTGCCGGTTGAGGGATGGTGGCAAGGAGAACATCATCCCATCCTGGCTGGTCCCCACGTGGCTCACCCAGCCCCTGCTCACCGTGACTGCAGATGCTCCAGCTGCACCTGGAAGCTCTCGCTCTGCTCCGTCTGCTCGTCCAGCGACCGCTGCAGCTTCCGCGTCTGGTTGTGGGCCTCATCCAGCTGTGGGATGCCATGGGATGGGGTGGGGTGGGGTGGGGTGGGATGGGGTGGATAGGATGGTGCTGTTGGCAGCTGTGTAGGGAGCAGAAGAGCTCCCTGACCTCCTCCACCAGCATGAGCTTTCCCACCTCATCCTCGGCTTGGGCCAGCTCCTTCTTCAGCTCCTCCACCCTCAGGCGCAGCTTCTTCACCTCTCCCTCGTGCTGCTCCACGCGGCGGTTGGCATGGGCCAGCTCGGCCATCTTCTCCTGGTACTGCTTCTTCAGCTTGGTGTGGATGTGCTTCAGGTCGGCCAGCTCCTGTGGTGGGCATGGAGAGGGGGCTGAGCATGGGACAGCCACCCCCACCACTGGGTGTCCCCTCCTCCCCCCCCAGGGATCTCTCCCATTGCCCCACCCCATGATCCAGGAGCTGATGGGGTCACCACCATCCCTTGAAGGGCGACGGCAATATTTGGGCTTGAAGGAGTCCTTGGGGAGGTTGAGCCCCACAACAGAGTCACCCAGGGATGCAGGGTGACATCACCACCCCTATGGCACCTTGTTCTTCTCGAAGAGCTCAGCCTGGATGGTTTTGAGGTCAGTGTCCAGGGCACTGGCTGTCTGGCGCCGCTTGCGAGCCAGCACCTCCTCCAGGTCCTCGATCTGTGCCCGCAGCTTCTTGTTCTCCCGCTCCAGGTTGAGCTTCTCTGTCTCCAGCCGCTCCCGCCGGCCCCACTCGGCCGCGTTCTCTGCCTGCAGCCGCTCCATCTGGGACAGGGGCACGGGGTGGCTGGGGGGCAGCAGGACCCCCCTCTCTGCCCACCCTTGCTCCCCGTGCTGGGGTTTGGCCTCACCTCTGCACGCAGCTCAGCCAGTTTCTTGTCCATGCTGGAGCGAGCACCCAGCTCATCCTCCAGGTCCTCAGAGATGCGCCCCAGCTCGTCCTGATGAATCTCCTTCAGGATGTTGAGCTGTGGGGGGACAGGGCACCAAAGGGGGCTGTGAACGCCCACCTTCCACCTGAGCCCTGCCCACACACATCCACCAAACCTCTATGGATAGACCCAATGCGTCAATAGCATTGAAGACCCTTAACAAGCAACCTGGAGTTGGGGAAGTGGCTGTGGGCCACCATGTCCATCAGGATGTGCCACCCTGTGAGGGACAGGCCGCCCCTGGGGCACCTCGCTCACCTGCTTCATCACCTCCTGCTTGTTCTTGTTGAGCTCCTCATACTTGATCTTCCACTGGCTGAGCTCACCCTCCAGCTTCTCGATGTTCTTGCTGAGCGCCAGCTTGTCCCTGGGGAGAGGCAATGACAGTGACAGACTGCAGGACCCCATGGTGATGCCATCCCAGTGGGGACCAGGCTGGCATCAGCTGGCACTCTCAAGGATGATGCCCCAAGCACTCACTCCCGCTCCTTGAGCAGCACTTTTTGGGACTCATCCAGCCTGAGCTTCAGGGCGGTGACTTTGGTGGCGTCCTCCTCCACGACGCTGACGTCCTCCCAGAGCAGGCGGCTCCGCTCCTGGCGGCTGAAGGAGGCCCGGGGGCCCCGCTGCTCCCAGCTCTCGTCCTGCTTGCTCGTCAAGATGTTTTCCATCAGCTCCAGCTCCTGTGGCGCCGTGGGTGGCCCAGCACAGGGGACAGGGTGAGAGGGCTTCCCAGCCCCTGCAGCACCCAGCCCTCACCCCATCACCAAGAGCACCTCTCCCTCCATCCCCCAGGGATCCCCTGCCTGATGAAGAGGGACTTGCCCTCCCAGGGGAGCTCCCACACATCATCACACTCTGCTGCTGGCTCCCTGCCATCCTGGAAATTTGGTATAAAAAAATTTAAAACCAATTTATGACACCGATCTCACCCAGGACTGCCACATGGGTGACCTTGTACCAGGCACTCTGGGCACACAGTAAATGAGCTGCAGGGGGTGCCAGGGGACAGGATGTCCCTGGGGACCAAGTGTGGAGCCTGTGGGGGATGCCCACATTAGTATCAGACTTGTCACTTGGCAGCTGTGCTGTCAGGTGGACTAAACTGTCACAGCATGGCACCGTGAGCAGTGCCTTCTGTGCTGTGACAGAGCTAACAGCAGCAGAGGAGGGATGGCTGCAGCAGCTGGGATAATCCCTGAGGTGGCTCTGGTGTGGCACTCCCCTTCCTCCTCCTCCTTCTCCTTTCTTCAGCAAAAAACCCTGCCAGAAGCCCATATGGACACCCTGACAATCAAGCCGTGGCTGGGAGATGCCACCAGCACTGCCAATGCCACCATCCCCTGTACTGGCACAGTGAATTTTGCCTAGTGCCTCCAAAGGGAAAACCCCAGGAAAGGGACTGGTGCCAGTGCCAAGGTGATCTCACAGCATGGGGCTATGGTGGCTCTGGATCTCCTCATGACACTGCTCTGAGGAGTCTGATCCTTCCAGTGCTGTTCCAACAGGGATCTGACTGTCCTGTAATGCTCCAAGAGGGGTCTGAGCCCAAAATGCTGCTTGGAGGGGTCTGACACCCCCCATACTAATCCAAGAGGGGTCTGACCACCCTGTACTGCTGAGAGGGCTCTGGCCCTCCTAACCCTGCCCCAAGAGCAGTCTCCCCACGTTGCCCATCTTTACAGGACAGGCAGTGGTGGTTTGGGGGTGCACATGGGCAGCAGACGAGGATGAGCAGCTCCCCTGTTCCCTGCCCCTGCTGGCCGGGGGCAGCCCCACACGCCCACCTTGGCTTTTGGGGGCACCTCAGCCCCCACATCCCGCACAGGCTCTTCTTGCTCAGGGCCGGCGTCTCCCTCTGCTCCGTCGGCGGGCGGGAAGCCGGCGCTGGCCGGTGCCGGTGCCGGTGCCCGCGGCGGGGCCGGGCGCTCGTCGGGCCGCTCGCGGTCGCGGTCGCGGCGCAGGCTGGCCAGCTCCTTGGTGAGCGCCTCCAGCCGGTGCCGCAGCTGCCGCACCTCCTCCCGAGCCCGGTTGCGCTCGGCTCGCACCTTGCTCCACTTCTCACGCCAGTTGGCCGTGCAGTCCGACCACCAGCGCATCGTCTTCTCCATCTGCGCCGCCCGCGCCCGCGCCTCCTCCAGCTCCCGCAGCCGCAGCTCCTCCCGCCCTTCCCAGTCCCCTTCCAGCAAGGCCGGCGGGGGCCCGGGCGAGGGTGTCCCGCTGGGGGGGGACGGGGAGGGCTCGGGGGCCAGTAGGGCCAGGAGGGAGCCCCCCGGCAGCGGCGGGGAGCCGGCCAGGCGCGAGGCCCCGCTTTGGCTCATGGCGGGGCTCCCCTAGGGCATGGCCGTCCGTCACCGCGCTGCACCCAGGGACCTGCGGGAGACACGAGGGGTCACCTGGGGACGGCGGCGGCGGGGAGGGAAGGGCTAGCAGGGACATGGTTCCTGGTTTTGGGGAGCGGCACACTGAGTGATGAGATCCCTGGGATGGACCCTAGCCAGGCCCTCAGTGAGGACTCTGGCAATGTCCCCAGCCAGGTCCCCAGCTGGCAGCCAAGTGATGTCCCCAGCCAGTCCCCTGTGAAGACACCAGTGAGGTCCTCAATGAGGACCACAGCCCTCAGCCCAGCCACTGGCATCTATTTCAGCTTGGCTCTGCAGGCACCACTGGCAGCGCACCACAACGACGGGAAGACATGTTATTCGCATGATGTCATCCGCATGAGGTCAGTGATGACATCATCATCTGCGAGCCTCCAAGACCATCCCTGGTGCTGGAGTTGGGGTACTCAGCTGCACCCCAGCAGCTCCAGCGAGGGTGACAGCCAGGATTCGGCGCCAGCAAAGCAGGAACAGCTCCGGAAGGAGAGTCGGAGCTGCTGGGTTGGCGTGGCGCGGCAGCAGGACTGTGTCCAGGCAGCTGGATGTGCTTGCCGATGATGCCGCAACAAAGGGCCAGTGCTGAGTGTCCCCATCCCGGCATGGACCTCACATCCCGCCCTGGACCTCACATCCCGCCCTGGATCTCACACCCGGTGCGGCCAGGCAGGCAAACCGCCCCAGGAAACCTCAATGGGAGGCTGCTGCGCGTCCTAATGGGATAAGTACAGGGTCCAGCCGCGGCTGCCCGCAGCCCCGGCAGGTTTCTGGGGCGGTGCAGCCCAGACCTGCTACCAAATCCGGCTGGGCTGGGAGAGCTAGTGCTGGAGCAGCGGGAACAGAGGCCGATGGCAGTTCTGGGATTTGCATGGCAGAAAGAACTAAATTTTCTGGTGGTATTTGCTGAAATGGTGAAGTTTTGCTAAAACTCAGCAGAAAGGCCAGGCCCGTGCTCTGTCGGCTGCTCCTGGAGGAATCCCAGGCATTGGCAGGACCCGGCACAAGCAGCGCCCACGGGAGCACACACGCTGCACCAGCACCCACGGAAAACCCACGGAACGCATGCAGAGAACCGACAACCATGCAGCACCCACGGGAGCACGAGTGGACCCAGGCACCCCTGGAACATCCACGGGGAGCACGTGTGGAACAGGAACATCCATGGGACACCCGCGGGAAGCGCGCGTGGCTCACGGACACCGGCGGGAAGCACGCGTGGCTCACGGACACCGGCGGGAAGCACGCGTGGGGCACCGGCACGGGAGGATTGCGCCCCCTCCCCACGAGCCGCCCCCGCTCTCCGCATTGGCGCCGGGCTCCGTCACTCACCCGCCGCGGCCCGGGCGGCGGGAGCCCCGCATTCCTCCGCTCCGCCGGAATTCCTGCCGCTCCGCCCGGGAGGCACCGCTCGGCCCGGCCCCGCCCGGTTCGCCACGGCCCCGCCCGCCCCGCAGCGGCGCGGCCCGGCCCGGCCCGGCCCGGCGCGGCCCCTCCCCCGACAAAGTTTCTCGCAAGTTTCCCGGTGCCGCCGGCTCCGCCGCCCGCCCGCCAACCCGGCCCAGCCCGGCCCGGCCCAGCCCAGAGCAGCCCAGCCCAGAGCAGCCCAGCCCAGCCCAGCCCTGCCCGGTCCGGTCCGGTCCGGTCCGGTCCGGTCCCTCACCCGGCGGTGTCGGCGGCGGCGGTGCGGGCGGGCCGGGGCGCTGCGGCCGAGTCTCCTCCTCCTCCTCCTCCTCCTCCTCGCCCTCCTCCTCCTCCCCCCGCCGCCGCTCCCGCCCCCCGCCCGCGCCCGGGGGCCGGTCCCGGGCCGCGCTGCGCGTCCTGCCCCGTGGCACGGCCGGGGGGCCGCACGCGTGCGGTTCCGGTGCTCGGGGAATGCGGGCTGCCCTGCTCAGCACGCCGGGGCTGGCGGCTCGGACACGCGAGTGCTCGGCTGGGACCGTGCCCGTGGCTGCGGCTGGGCTGCGCACACGGGTCTGCCCCGGGGCGTGGGGACATGGGGGGAACGCAGCGGGGCCCCCCGGGGGAGCGGTGGCCGCGCAGTGTCTGCATCCCCCACACATGCCCGTGCTGGCTCCCTCCTGGCCAAGCGGCAAACCCCCAAACCACCATTTTACCCCTGGCTCTTTCCCTTTGCTGTGTGTCTTTCAGACAAAAAACTGCGAAATGCTAGCGGCCAAGAGGGTTTGTGCTCCGCGGGACGTGGATTCGATGCCACGGGACACCAACAACTTTTTCTCCCCCAGGATCGAGCGAGGCAGGGAAAACCAAATCAAATTAAAGCAAAACTTCTTTCCAAGATCGGATTTTTTTTTCCAGCTGGAAACAACCCCAAAAAGCTGGAGGCGAGGGATGCTTTCCTCTCCTACGCCCCTATCCCAGCGTCTTGTGCCAGGGAAACCGGCGCCGTCTCTCGCAGCCGGTGAAGCGATTTTGCAGGCGGTTTGGCCAGAGCTGCGGGTGCGTGGTTGCGGCTTTAACCCGCTCCCGGCTCTAAAACCGGCAGTTTTTTCCAAGCGTGTCTTTACTGTTTGCTTGGACGTGCGTGTCTTGGTGACACCAGCAGGCTCGAGGATGCATTGCAGCATCCTGGGATTTGTGGGGTTTACCTTTGCAAAAATCAAACCGCTTTGGTCTGGGGTTTGTCACCGAAAGATGTGGCCAGTGACCCACTTCTGTGGTCTAAGCATCATCATCCTGGCGCCCTTCTCCTCCAGCTCTGGGTTTCCAGCCTGGCCATGGCCAGCAGGCCCCCTCAAATCTGTTCCCAAGCAGCTCCCATTTGGGATAGGTCAGACTGAAGCAGATGGTTGCCCTAGGTCATGAACTGAGACCCAGAAATGTTGCACGAGTGGCTGCAGGCGCTGGGCAAGCACAGCGTGGCACTGCTGCCCCACAAGGAGCACTGGTGTGGCTGAGTCACCCCTGCTTCCCACAACTGCACATGGCCACATCCCTGCAGCTGGACCCAGCAGCCAAGATGAAGCACAAAGTGAAGCCTTTTGGGGCAAACCTAACCATTTTGGGTAAAAAAAGACCTTTGTTCCCTCAGCTAGGCCAGCTGGCATTGCTGGAGAGCTGTGCTGTGGTGACTGGGGGTGTCATGGGGTGTGCTGGCTCCATCCTGGCAAGAGCATCAAACTGTGGTTTCACAGGATCAGGCTATCTTGAGTTCAAAGGCACACAACGACACACTGAGTCCAACTCCCTGCTCCTTGCAGGACAACCTGGAAACAAACTGTATGACTGAGAACGTCATCCAGACACTCCTTAACTCTGGCAGGCTTGGTGCCATGACCTCTTCTCTGGGCAGCCTCTCCCTGTATCTGACCATCTTCCCAGTGAAAAGCCTTTTCCTAATGTCCAAACTAAACTGCCCCTGAAGCAACTTCATTCCACCTCTTGTGTCCTTTCACAGAGAGTGGAGATCAGCACCCCGTGCACCCCAGGAATCCCTGGCACACCGCATTTCCCAGGCAGGCTGGGCACAGCACACACTGCAGACACGGCGAGGATGCCAGGCACAGCTTGCACCGCGGGCATCCCGGACAGTTTGAGCGCCCTGACACTCTGGGCACAGCACGGGGGCTAAAAGCTGAATCTCTGGGCGGTGGGAGCTGCTGCTGGGGGCCTGGGTGCTGTCTCCCGGGGACCACGGCTACCCCCCTGCCCGTGGTCGGTGTTAGCGACCAGCGCTGGCCGCTGCTTCTCTAGAAGCGCGTTTGGATTGCCCGTGTGGGGCTGATCCGCTGCCGGCTGAGCCGGCGCCTCTGGCCGGGGTCTGCTCCGCTCGGACACCCGCCGTGTGGTTGGTGCAGGTCCCACTAGATGGCACAAGGACCGCAGGAATGGTCCCACATCGGGAATATGCTCGAGCGGGGCCGGCCGGTGGCGATGCGGGACGGCGGCGGTGGCGGTGAGCGGTGCCGAAGTGTCCCCTGACCAAAGGGAGGAGCTGCCACTGCGCGTCTCACAAGGCACGGCCGAAAGCGGCGGGTCTCCGGCTACATCCCCCAAATCCGTTTGGTGCCAGCACGACTGCAGGCTGGCAGGAGTGGCTGTACGGCTGTGGCATCCCCGAGCCACCCCGACCCTGGGTTTTCACCCACGACAGCATCACGCTAGAAGCCCTTCCTCTCGCCCCAGATCCAGCGCTGGGGTGGAGGCCACCTGCAGCCTTGGGGCGGCAGGAAAATAGTGAGCAGGGCTTTGTCTTGGCATTGGGCAGACGAGTTTGGGTGGAGGAGAGGATGGGAAGTGAGTAAGTGATACTCGGCTTTCCTCCCGCTCTCACTGAGGAAGGCAGAGCCAAGGAGAGCTCCTCAAGATCACCAAACACTTTCGGAGTTGAAGCAATCCCTGTGGAAATAAATAGCCAGTACAAATTGCAAGGACTAAATCCATCAGCTGGCAGCAGCGAGCCGGTCCTGAGCCCGTGGTGCATCCGCATAAACCAGGCATCACCTGGAAATGTTACCGGGGTTTTTTTCTCCTGATGCCTGAGGTTTTGGAGCTGGACTTCCCATTCTGCCTGCTGGAATGCAGACCAGCAGCGCAGCATGGCAAATCCGCCTGTGGTGACATCAGGGTGCCCCCTCACCTGCAGGGTGAGCCAGGGAGGTGCCATTAGCGGGTGCTGCCCGTTTCTGGCCCGGTGGCAGGGCACCGAGCACCGCCGGACACGCTGCCCATCTCTGAGAGTGACGTTTCCCTTTCTGGCTCCTTCCCGCTTCTGGACAGCGAAGGAAGCCTCTGGCTGTTCTTTGTTCCAGGCACAAAGGGCAGCCGCGTTCCCGTCAGAGCCGGACAAAGGCCGGTCCCGCCGGGGCTCTGTGCCCTCCCCGCAGCCCGCCGTGCCCCCGGCTCACATGCGATGAGCTGTGCATGGCTCACCGCTCCGGCGGTGACTTCAGCTGTTCACTGCGAGCCCTGCGGGTTTGGTGAGGTGCCAAGTGCCCGACTTTCCCCCACGAGCCCCACCGTGCGAGAGTTACATTCCAGCGCTTTCCGTGCCTTCTCCCCATCTCCAGATTTCGGGGTTTGTGGTGTGAGTCACTCTGGCTGCCACACATCCACCTTGCTCCGGTATCCGGTGCTGCTTGGAAAACAATCACTCGGTGATTGCCTCCTGGCAGCGGGAACACAGCATCCCTGGGTGGTCCCCAGGGAGCTGCACCTTCTGGGGACTGGTGGGACATGCTGGTTCTTGGGTAGCTGAGCCCACTGCTGGTGCCCAGGGGTCACCCTTTTCCCACCGTGCCACACCAGGAGCAGGGTTGGAGCACTCCCCAGGCCCCTGGGGAGCACGGATAGAGCCTCCCACCCACCCAGTGCCACGGTGCCAGGGCTGGCTCCATCCAGCACCTGGGCATGGGCAGGAGGGGGCCTGGCCCCTCCAATCTTCTCAAGGAGAAATGGTGCCATTTACCTTTCAGGCTGCTGGAGGGGTTGTGCCATCCTTTTCTCCCCAGGAGAGGAAGGTTGGTGGCAGCATGGTGCCTTCAGGCTTCAGAGTCACCCTTGGCTCCAGGAGCAAAGCTGTGGAATTATAGCAAATGCTACCGATTTTGGGGGAAAAAGCAGCCAGGAAAACTACTAAATCCACGTGGAAAATGGAAGGTTTGGAAAAGACCTTGGCTACATTTTGGGATCTGCTTTTGGGACTTGTCTGTTGGGAGCTGATGAGCTCAGTTACTGCATCCCATGGGAGCATCCTCACCTGGTGCTTGTGCAGACACCCCCAGGGACCAATTTTCCCCCAGACTTCCCTGACATCACCGGGGGTTTATTTGCAAAGCCGAGCCTAAACAAATAATCCGGGTTTGTTGCTGTGCCTACGGGTTCGGGTTTTACTGCCCTGGCACCTGTTATGTCGCTGTTATCGTTGAGGGAGAAATCCCGACGTGGGGTGGGGTGGACCCACCTCCCCACCGGATGTTTTTCCAGGAGGAAGGCTCAGGGAGGTGGAGCAGCAGCAGGGGGGGGAGCACGAGCACCCGCAGCCGCTCAAAGGTAGCTGAGGCACTCCCTAGGATCACCACCCTCTGAGACTCCCAAGGCTGTCCTGGCATTGCCCACCAGATTCGGATGAAAGATCTAGGGCCGTTCCCTCCTACCAGCCCCCTTCTGCTTCCTCATCCTCATCCTCCTCCATCCGCCGGAGCTGGGCTGAGCCCTGCTTATGGTGGCGTTTTGCTGGGAACACCCAAGAGGCTTTGAGGGGGTCTGGGCACCCTGGCACGGCTGGGCAGTGGGGCTGGCAGCTCTTGGCAGTGGGGCTGGCACAGCCCTCGGCTGCAGACGGCGCCAGGGCTCCCCTGCCCACGCTTTGTCTCCCTCGCTTGGCAGCAGCCCGGTGCGACGTGCCCTCTCCTGCCGCGCCGCCGCGATCTGCCGGCACGCTCCCTCCCTCCCGCCCGCCGCAGGAGCCTTGAGGAGCTTTTAGGAAGATTTAGGGCTTTTAGAGGATTTTGGAAGTCTTAGGGTTCTTTTGGAGCTTTTAGGAAATTGAAGGGGTTTTAGGAACTTGAGGGCTTTTTGGGAACTTTTGGGGCTTTTAGGAGATTTAAGAGGTTTAGACACTCTTAGGGCTTTTAGTAATTTTTAGGGCTTTTAGGAACTTCAAGGATATTCAGGAACTTTCAGGGCTTATCGGGTTTTAGGGCATTTGGGATGTTGTAGGGTTTTCGGGACATTTTAGGGCTTTAGGAGCTTTCAGGGCTTTCAGGATCTTTTAGGACTTTCGGGAACTTTAAGCATATTTAGGCTCTTTAATGTATTTAGGAGCTCTTAGGACTCTTAAGAAGTTGTAGGGCTTTCATAGGAATTCCCCAGTTTGAGCAATAAACCCTTATCAGGCCGAGCCCAAGGGCAAATGTCCCTTCCAAGAGACAACACAAGGATTTCCTCCCTCTTCGTGCTCAGGCAGTGTCTTTGAAGGTTTGTCGACTTAAAGATAATCCCGACAACACCAGCAAGTGCAGGCGCTGACCTAAAAATAACTCCTGATAACATCGAATGCAGACAAAAGACTCTTTGTTCCACGAACAGCAGCAAAAAATCCTTTCCTCGCAGGTCCGAGGGGTCTGCACCAAATTCCCCTCTCCAGGAGAGCCGAATCCTGGGTTTAGCAGAGCTATTCCCGGGAGGTGGATTTATGGCGTTTCTCCAAGGAGCGGTCGGGATGACCCGCAGTGGGAGGCTTGGCTCTCCGCGGTGCTCCCGCGGCTCTGGCTGCTGCAGCGTGCGTTTCAGAGCTCGCCCCGCTGCCCGAGGCGTGGGGACGGCCGGACTTCAAAGGCAGCTCTGTTAGCCACGGTCCGGCCATGTGAGCTGCTTCCCGTGGGAGCCTTGTCCCGTGGCAGCCAGGGAAACCGGGGCTTGGAGCTGGAAATTAAACCAAGCAGTGGGGTGATGCAAAGGCGCGGGATGTCCTCTGCTCCAGGGATCCCAAAGCAGCCGCGGCACCTGCGGTGGCACAACCCTTGTGGATCAAGGTCCATCACCTTTCCTGCTGGAGAGGGAAGTTGTTTCCACCCTTCCCCCTGCAGAAAGAAAAGTCTCATTCAAACCATTGAAAATATCTGCAAGAGTAACTATTTACCCAGGGCACTTCCCGGAGCTCTCCCCCCGCCCTACTCGCTGCGCTCCCCGCGTCTCGGCTTTCTCCAGCCCGGCTGTTTCCCGGGGCACACACACACACACAAGCACAAAGGGCTGCCTGCAGGCGCTGCTTGGCAGCAGCTTCACCCGCTCCAACAGCGCTGCCTCGGCGCTTCCAACCCCAGCTTCCCACTGAGGGCCGGGGTGCCCATCTCCAGCCGTGGGGTGGGTGGTGAGGGCGCTGTGGTCGCATCCACCCCACATCCCAGCCCACCTGCTCCAGGGCAGCGCTGTGTATCCCTCTCTGGGGTCTGGGCTCCTTGCCCGGCTCCTTTCCTCCCTCACACCCCGCGGGGAGCGGGACAGGGGTCACCGGGACACTCCGTCCCGGCTGCTTTCCCATTAATTGTTATTTTTTAATCCCGTTGGCAGTCAGGCGTGCAGCCTGCTGGCTCCGGCTCCTCCGGCCCGCCGCTGGACGCCCGCCAGCCCGCAGCTGAAGGGCGGCGGGACACGGCACGCCCGGCTGTCCCCAGCCGAGGTCCCCCAGCCCACGGGGGTGCCGGTGCCGGTCGGGCGGGGACGCAGCCCCCGGTGCTCCCGGCCCGGGGCTCGCTGGGCAGGTGCCGTGACCGAGGGCAGTGGCCCCGCAGCCCCCGCAGCCATCTCGGAGGGTCTCGGAGGGGTCGGCGCGGGGGGAGCAGCCCCGGTACCGCCCCGCTGAGTCACCGCCCGCCGGGAGAACGGGGCGGGGCGGGCGCTGGTCCCGCGGCACCGCGCTGGGCGAGCCGGCTGCGAGGTGCGGAGTGGTGCTGAGCCGAACCGTGCCAGCCCAGCCGAGCGGAGCCGTGCGGAGCCGGGCGGTGCCGGGCCGAGCCCGCCCCGACTCCAGGTATGGGAGCAACGGGGAGCGGTTGAGGCGGGGACGAGGGAGGATCGCGGAGCCCGGTGTCCGCCGTGGGGGTCCCAGAGGCCGCGTTGAGGAGCGTTTGCCCGGTACCGGAGCCGAGGGGATGCTGCGGCCGGACGGGATGAATGGGGTGGGCTCCAGCCGGGGCTGGGGGGCTCCGCGCGGGCGGTGGCACCGGGCAGCGTCCCGGCTTGCTCGGGCAGGGAGCAGCCTGGATGGATGGAGCGGAGGGGTCTCTGTGGGGGGCTTGAGCAGCACCCCGCTCCGGGTGCGGGGGTTCAGCGGTGGGAGTGATGCGTCCGGCCGGGCAGGGCCCGGGGACTCTGCTCGTGGCCATGGTGCCAGTTATCTGCGAAACCAACCTTCATCCCTGCTCCATGGAGCTCGCACTCGCCTGCCCCGGAGCCAGGCTGGATTCCTGGGCCATGGAGCCACCAAGCCCCCTGAGCTGTCCGGGTCCGGCTGCTCGGGCTGCTGCCAGCGGCAGAGCTGAGCTCCACGAAGCTCCGGCCGTCTGCCGGTGTGTGGCCATCGCTTCCCACTTTATGGGAACCACCAGCACACCCCATTCCTTCCTTTCCTCGCTCCCGGCGGAGGGTGCAGCATCCCGTGGGATCGCTGGCGTGTCTCGACAGGGTGATCTCCCTTCCCTAAAATGCCTTTTAGGGGGATTCCTCCTGCAACGCCCGAGTTTGCTGTTGCTGGTCCTGGCATGTCGCTGCGGTTATGGGGTGTAGGATGCTTGGGGTGGTCTCTGCCCAGTCTCTGTGCTGCCCCTCCAAAGAGACCAGCAAAACTCGGTGAGACCAGCTGGGGAATTGAAATGAAGTCTCCTGGAATAACCTCCTGGCAGCAAGTCCGAATGGCTGTTGTGGAGGGAAGGCAGCCAAAGCTCATTTCATGGTCTGAGGGCTGCAGTAACCCCCCCACCCCCTCCACAAGCTCCACCACCAGCAGGGAGCCGGGAGTGTTTCGGAGACGGGCGGGGGCAAATCCTTTGAGCCCGGGACTGCAGCCACAGTGGGGTTTGCCGTGCCCCTTGCTGGGTTCGCAGCTCCCATGCAAATTAACCCAAGGACTGAAAATGCTGCATACTTGGTTGCAGTCCAGCTCTTAATCCCGCGGCCCGGGGGCTGCTATTTGCAGAGTAACAGGTTTGCAAGCAACTGTGTGTTGGCTGAACGGGGATCCCTGGGGCTGGCCATCCCTGCACCTTGCGGTGGCACCCGTGGGTGCAGGGTCAGAGCTGTGTGGTTTGCAGACAGCAGGCTGGGTCTCTCCCAGCGTGCCAATGTCTGCACGGGACCAGCTGGGCACAGCCTGCCGGCGCCTGTTTTTCAGGAGCTCTTGGACTCACCAGCTCCTTTCCCATCAGTTCACCCGACAGCTGGGGTTTGGCAGGAATCTGGGAGGCCCACAGCCTGTTACCTGGCTCCTTGGGTGCTGCAGACTTTGCCCTCACTAGGCTCCAGCACCTTGTTTTATGTGCCAAATAGCTGAGAACCTGATTTGGGGTGGTCCTGAGCTACTTTGCACTGCTCTGCACCTCCCTTCCCTGGCACCTGCAGCACAGGCAGGCAGCGAGGATCTTGCTCATGTGAAGGGGGGTAAGAGCTGGGAGTGGACAGGGTGTTTTGGGAGCCATTTGAAACCCAAGGGAGTGGTTTGGAAGGGCGGTGTGCAGGAGGAGAGATGGGGTTGCTCTCAAAGAAGACTGTGTGGTGGGAGTGTGTGGCAGGGACAACTGTCTGTACCCCTGTGGCCAGAGATGTCCTTGCATTGCGTTCTGACTGTGTCACGTCAGCCTCAGTCCAGAGTAGGTGTAGCTGGTCCTTTGCAGAGTGTGTGTGGCTGCTGTGAAGCCACAAGACTTCGTGTGCCACTGAGCCAGGTGCCGTGTTGCCCTGGCACTGGAGGAAGTGCTGGGTTACGTCACTGTGATACTTCTCTTTGTGGTGATTTTTAGGAAATGGAAAATTTTTAAAAAATTTAGCATGTCAAGAGCCAGCTCTAAGCAAATGCTCAGTCCCAGGAGCCCCAGGCACTGGCAGGCGCCTGTGCCAGCCTCCCCTTGGTTCTCCCCACGCCTTTGTGGGAAGGGATGGCTGCCAGTGGCTGGCAAAGCACAGATCTGGCAGGGAGCTGTGCCGTTCCCGTGGGAATCACCGTCAGATCTGGTTTCATCCTGTTGGCAAGACTCATCTTGAAGGTGCTGGGTGTTCTGTGCAGTGCCATGGCCCGGGAAAAGCTGAAGCACCCCATGGCACAGCTTGGCACCGCCGGGCTGCTGGCACAGTGCAGCTGCCCCTCGACTGCTTGGGCATCAGCCAACGTTCCCGGCCGCCCACCGGTGCCGGGAATCACATGCCAATGCCATGAATCACGTGAGGCTGGCCCTGGGCACCACCACTGGCCAGGGACAAGGGCACTTTGTGAGGCACTCAGATTCTGACACTGGGGCACCCCTTTACTCAGATTCTGACACTGGGGCATCCCTTTACTCAGATACTGACACTGGGGCACCCCTTTACTCAGATTCTGACACTGGGGCATCCCTTTGCAGGGGAACCCCCATGGGTTCCTCACATCCTTGGACAGCTCCAGACCCAGGGCACCTTGTTTTTGGTCCCTGCAATGAGGGATTGGTTGTGCAAAGCTGTTTTGCATCTCCAAGAGCCCGTCCTGGCTTGCCTCTGTGTGCCACAGTTTCCTCATCGTGCTGCTGAGTAACCCACTGTGGTGACGAGCTTCAGGCTCATGCACATCTCGAGGAACAGAACGTCACTTTCCTAACGGACCTGGAAGGAAAACAGATAAAAGCTCCTGGATCTCCCTGCTTCCGGTGTTTGTTTGAGTCATCGGAGCATCTTCCCTTCTCCTTGGGAAAAACGTCATGTCCAAAAGCCACGTGTCACCTCCAAAAGCTTAAATACCAGCTTAAATACCTGCTCAAGTCACCCAGAAAGCAGTAAGGTGGTAGTAAACACCTTTTGTTTGTGGGTTTTTAAGTCTTTTTCCGCCCCCATTCACCCAAGGTTTAGAAACCTCAATATAATGCTTTGCCTTTTCTTTCCAAGGCCAGCACCTTAATGGTGATGGGAGGATAAGAACTGGTGCCCAGGAATGAGCCTCCCTCTCTGCTGATAAGGGAGCCTGCTCCAAGCTGTGCAGCCTCTTTGTACATAATCTGGTTGTTTTTGAGGCCAAGCCAGGAATTTTTGCCCACTGCCATCCGGGTATGGGAAGATGACGAGGCAGGATTCAGCCCTGACGAGAACTCAGCGCATCCGGCTGAGTTTACCTTTGCTGTGCTTGGTGCCAGCGTGGATGGAGGCCGTGGTTTCTCACTGTGAAACCATTTTCAGGGGATTTTCTCTTGCTATTGTTCAGCTCAGGAAGCAGCAATCAGAGTCGGGCCAGCGGGACCATACAGGGCTGGGAGGGGAAATACCGGCTCCCCCACCCTCTTTCCCACAGGGATTTCTGGTCCCAGCTGAGTAACGGCTGAAAGGGGCTGATCCTCTCCTCCAACCATCCCAATAAAACCTTAAAGTTGGCAGCATAGTGGGATGGGCTGAGGCCTTATTAAGATTCAGCATTCCCCATCCAGAGGCGATGCTTTGTTGCCCTGCCAGCTCTGTGCTGCCTCATGGTTAGCATTCACGTGAAGCTCCATTGCTTTTAAGTGATCCAGGTGTTTTCCATCACCCACAGCATTTTGCCACCCCAGGTCCCTGTTTTTTGGATATATATGTGAGATTCCTAGGCGTGTGGCAAGGCGCTGGGGTGCCGGCCCCATCCAAATCCATTTACTCCAGCCGAGTCATGCCTGTGCCATACTCTCCCAGTTCACACTGGGAGACCTCATTAGTGTAACTTAGTTACAGCCAGGACAGCGGGTTAATTAACAACCCGAAGCCCCCGTCTGCTGATGATAAATTGCCACAAGAAACAGGTGGAAGGACGGGGAGTGGGCTGTACACCCCTGCAGGATCTATGCTGGCTGGAGAAACTTCCAGACAAAGCCTGTGCTGGTGGGAGAAATCTGCTAATGAGTTACTAAGCATCTGGTGGCCCCTGAGCATCTGGGAGAGCTGTAAGCCTTTGCAGGTGATGCTGGTTGGTGCCCCAGCACCACCTCACAGCAAACAATGCAGTTTTGACTGCTTGGTGGGTTTTGGGGGGTGTTTGAGAGCAGTGCAGGAGAGATGCAGCGATGGCCAACGGTGCTGGCTTCACTCTGGGCATTGACGAGTGTTGGGCTGGGCCAGCTGCTCTGGCAGCCCCCACCAACACTGTCCCACCCCGGGGGGCTTCTGCTGGTTGCCAGACCTTGGCAGGGTGTGTCCCATGGTTGAAGTGACAGCAGGGCGAGGAGGAGGTGACACTTGGTGCCTCCCAGCTGAGCTGGAGGTGCAGTTTGTGGCCTGGGGCAGGCAGAAGCGCAGTGAAAAAGGCTGCTTGTGTGAAGGCTGTGGCTGGGTGAGCACAGGCGTGTGGCAGCGCTTGAGGGTGCTCAGTGCTGGCCTGGGTGTAGGTCACAGAAGCTCTGTCCTCGTGCAAAGACAAAGAAAAGGGTGGTGGAGCAGAGTTCTAGATGAAGGGATGGGCAAAGGGGCTGTGCAGGATGTGGCCCAGCTGGTTGTGAGCAGCAGATCTGGGCAGCCGTGGTTGCTGTGCTGGCGCTGACAGGATGTGCCTGGGAGAGCCTGTTTCTGCAGGCTGAAATGATGGAGTGGTTTGCAGTGTGCCCAGCTCCTCAGCTAATCTGCAGGAGCTGAAAACATCCAAGAGAATCATTTCAGGGCTGGTCAGTTAGGAAACCACAGTTTCCTTCTGCTCCTATCATTTATGATAACAAGTCAGGGTGTTAACTGAGATGGGGAGCTGAGAGCGGAAGAGGGGACCCCTCCCATGTGGATTCTTTGGTTGGAGTGGTGGGGCACCCTCTCCTTGCTAAGAGCTCAGGGGCTTCCAGCCTCTGCCATCCTTCCAGCCCACAGCCAGCTTGGGTGCCCAGTGGTCCTGGCTCCTCCTGGAGGCACAGGCAACAGGGCTGGTGTCCCACCTGCACAGTCCTTGTTCTCCATCCCTGCCCTCATGGCCTGGGGGATACTCAGATACTCATGTGGCCCCTTCCCTTTGTGCCCTTTCAGGCTCTGCTGTCTCCTTGAAGGCCAAGCCAAGGTAGAGAGCTGTCCGGGATGAAGGTCCTCTTCCTGCTCCTTCTCTCCCTCCTCCAAGGTAGACTGTCCTGTCTTGGGATGGTGATTTGGGCTGCTGGGAGTAACTGGCAGCCCCAGAATGTTGGCTGGGGGGCACCATGAGATGTATGCAACCAAGGCTTCCACAGAAGTAAAACATATCATGGGATGATGTGCCTCTGGTGGGTCCCTTGGGCAGAATGTGTCCTTTCCAGGGAAAGAAGGTGCTCTTCATCCATCCCTCCTGGGAATGGACAGATCCTCTTTCAGTGCCTGCTGATGTGGGTGGTGGCACATGGGAGTGGCTGTCCCTGAAAGACAGGAGGTCCTGCTGCCCAAAGGGCCCTGGCAGACTCTTGCAGCATGGTTGTGACACTGGGGACATGGCTGGTGTCACTCAGCCTGCAGGACAGGGCTGGGATGACTGGGGTGGAGAGCCTGGCATGCCACGTGTGACAGCTGCTGCAGGGCTGTGTGTTTGCAGGGCTGGCTGTCCCTGCAGCTGATCTGCTGTCTCTGTGTGCTTGTGCAATGCAGGGGTGGGAGCCAGTGGCCACAGGGGAGAGGATTTTCACTTCTGTGGTGACCGAAACCAGACCCAGGAGAGCTCTGTCCTCTACGAGCACGGCCCTGCCACCATCTCCATCGAGAACACGGCCCAGGCACTGATCATAAAAAGGCCCTTTTTGCCAAACAGGAGAAACTCTTACTACAAGTACAGGTTGCCCCCCACCCTGGGCAGGTACCGCTTCTGCATCTACTGGTTTGAGTCCAACAGGACCCTGCAGCTGGTGTATGGGAAGCAGAGCATCCCCCTGGGTGGGGACCCTTCCAGCAGCATCCCCTGGGGCCAGGAGAGTCAGCAGACTGAAAGAACCAGAGCCCACATCTTCAATGTGTCCTATATCATCAAGGGCGGGAAGAACACTTCCCTGGACGCTAAAGCTGAATACTTCTTCCCTGGTAAATGCAATTTAATGTTATTTTAAAGAAATTAAAGGGTTGTTTCATCCTCAGCCTGTTCCTTAGTCGTCATCAGAGCACTGGTTGTTTCCCAGTGTATGGTTTAGCCTGGTGATATGAAGATAGCTGAAGGGTGATTGAAAGGGATGTAGGTTTTCTTGACAGGCCTGGTACCCAGCATCCCTAAAGGTGGAGATTTTCAAAATGCTGCCTAAAATCACAGAAAATTGAGGTCTTTGCAGTGGTTTCTCAGGGTCCAGTCTCCACCATGAGTTCCCTATGGCCCAGTGGGGGCTGAGTTCTGGGTGGCAGGAAAGCCCTGTGGGTTGGAGTCACTATCAGCTTTCCTGGCTTGGGATCACCTTGAAGCCCTCTGCTTTCTGCTCCCACCAGGGCTCTGCCTGTCAGTTTGGGGCATAAGGAAGCCAATTCTGCCCATGCATTTCATGGCATTTCCTTTCCACCAGCCTCTCCAGAGAACATGCCTGTCTGGGAGCAGGATGTGGAGGAGCAGCTGACGGCCTTGGACAGCCTCATTGCCCAGCCCCTGGCAGCAGCCCCGGGAGCCGCGGAGCAGCAGAGGCTCCGCCGGTGAGTTCCAGCTTCTGCTGCTGCCAAAGCGTGCCTCCTGCACCCAGCTCACTGTGCCCCTTCCCCAACAGCAAACTTGGGGAGCTGGAGAAGATGCTGGCCAAGGTGGAGCTGGAAGGGCAGAACCAGACCTTTGGGGAGGCCACTGTGCACGCCACCGTCCTGAGGGTCCAGCCCAGTCGCGCTCCTCAGCACCTGACCTTTGCTTCCCAGAGAGAGGTGGGTCCTGCAAAGTCTGCCCCAGTGCTCTTGGCCCATCATGCTCTCTCTGCACCACTTTCCTGACGAGTCTTTCTTTGCAGGAGAGTGGAGAGGTGCAGGGATTCACAGTGGACCTGCCAAGCAGCCTGTTCTTGATGGTGAAGGAGGAGGAGGTGGTGGAGCAGAGGGTGCTGCTCATGGACATCAACAGGCAGGCCATGTTCCAGGTAATGCCCACAGGAATGGCCTGCTGGGTGTGCAGGGGTGCCACCAGACCAGGGTGCTGGTGCTCACTGGGAGAAGATGCTTCAAAAATGAGCTAAAAGCTTGATGGGTAAAGTCACAGGATCTTCTTCTTGGGCACTTTCCTCTGCTTCACACCTGGCTGCTCTCCCTTCCCACACTGCCACTGCCTCCTCTTCTCCACCAGGATGAAAACAGCAGCCAGGTCCTGGGTGACAAGGTAGTCAGCATCTCTCTGGTGGACACAGTGGTGGCCAACCTCTCCGAGCCCATGGTCCTCACTTTCTTCCATGACCAGCTGCCGGTAGGTGGGAGAACAGCCCCACAGAGCCTGATCCCACCAGGAATGGAGGGGGAAGGAGGGCTCAGCCCCTGCCAGCTTAGGTTGGGGTCAAATCCAGCAGGTCCATGCCCATGGCCTGCCTGTGCAGCATCTGCTGTGTCTTCTGGGGCTGTGTCACAGTCATGGCTTCACTGTGTGCACTGGTGGTGGCACTGCCCTCCCCTCTCCAGGAGGTGCCTCATGGCAGATGTGTCACATCCAGCACTGTCACCAGGGCTGGGGCACACTGTGTTAGCAGGCCCTTGGCTCATTGATGGCTCTGTCAGGTGCCTGCTCAAAGCTGAACCCATTGTTTGGAAGAGAGGATCTGGAAGGAGGTATCTGCTCCAGCTGTTGTTAACAGTGGTCTCTGCCTGGAACCTCCTCCCATCACAGGGGCAGTCTGGTTTATCCAAGTTGTATTTTGTCTCCTGAGAACATCTTCTCTCCTGCCCCATGTTGTCCCCTATCAAAAGTGCTGGGCAGGCAACAAACCCACAGCTGCATCCTGACCAGGGCCTGTGGTTTTGTCCTTGCAGAGGAACGTGACCCCACTGTGCGTCTTCTGGCAGGAGGACACCTCTGGTGAGTGCCCCTGCCCTTGGCAGTGAGGTCAGGCCCTTGTTCCAAGGTACCACAGCCCCACCAGCAGGGTGAAGGCTGCTCTGCACCTCCCTTCCTCCCTCCATCTCTACAGGGCTGATGTCAGCTTTTTCCCTCCAGAGCTGACCTAAGAGCTTTCCCCTTCCCTAGGGATGGGTTCCAGTGCTGATGGGCTATGTGTGTATGTGTGCTTGGCCTGGGACAAGCTGGGACCTCCCACTCTTGTGCTCCCTCTTTCCATGGACACCTTGCCCTGAAGATCCTTTAGCCCAAGGCAGATGTTCCTGCTGCTCACCAGATGCTCTCCCTTTCTCCTGCACAGCCAGTTCTGGGAGCTGGGACAGCTATGGGTGTACCACAGTGACAGGGAGCAGCCAGACAGAGTGCAGGTGCAACCACCTCACCTACTTTGCTGTGCTCATGGTGGGTAGCACCTTCCCTCAGACCCCTCACATAATTCCCAGTGGTGCTCTTCCTCACCATCTCTCATTGCTCCTCTTCCTCAGGTATCCTCTCCAGAGATCACCTCTGTGCACAGGAATTACCTGAGTATCATAACCTACGTTGGCTGCCTGATCTCAGCTTTGGCATCCATTTGCACCATTTTCTTCCTCTACTTCAGGTACAGTCTGGTGGCTCACCCCATGCTCCCTGTCTGTGTCCTGTCCCTGGCCATGAACACCTGGGTGGGCACAAGCTCTCCAAGCAGTTGGTGGCCTGGAGAGAAGCATCATGAAGGAGCCTTGTTTGAAGAAAGCAGATTTCTTCTGTCCAGGGTCCTCTTGGTCAGGTCTCATGCAGGGTGCTCAGAAACACTAGCTCTTTTCAATTATTTTGGAAAATCTTCTAGATTATGGATGCAGCAAGCAGAAGTCTGCAAAGATCTTTTCAAGGACCTGGAGGAGAGCATGAGTGTTTTCTCCTGAGTCATGTCACTGATCCTAAGTGGACGATTCAGACCTGAAATCTTAGAATCATAAAAATATAGAATGGTTTGGGTTGGAAGGGACTGAAAAATCATTAACTTCCAACCCCCCTGCCCTGGGCAGGGACACCTTCCACTACACCAGGTTGCTCCATGCAACCTGGTCTTGAACAATTTCAGGGATGGGGCATCCACTTCTCTTGGCAGCCTGTGCCAGGGCCTCACCACCCTCAGAGGGAAGAATTTCTTCTGAATTCCTAAACTAAACCTGCTCCACCTTCCACTACACCAGGTTGCTCAGAACTCCATGCAACCTGGTCTTGAACAATTTCAGGGGTGGGGCATCCACAACTTCTCTTGGCAGCCTGTGCCAGGGCCTCACCACCCTCTGAATTCTTAAACTAAACCTGCTCTCAGATTGAAGCCATTCCCCCTTGTCCTGTCACTCCATGCCCTTGATCAAAGTCCCTTTCCACCTCCCTTTAGGCACTTTAGGAAGTGCCCTTTAGGCACTTTAGCAGCTCCCTGGAGCTGCTCAATCCAAACTCAATCAGCCTGTCTCCACAGGAAAAGTGCTTCAGCCCTCTGAGCATCTTCAGTGCAGGGTCAGCTGCAGGGGCTGGATTTGCACGTGGGATGGCTGGTCCCACCTCTGGGGTTGGTCTCAGTCCCTGGCACTACCGAAGAGTCTCCTTGCCCTTCTGCTGGGGCAAGGTGCCCCACGCAGGGCTGTGGGGTGTTGTGGGCACCACTGGTGCTGGCCAGGCACGGGGGTGAGTTCTGCTCCCTTTGGTTCTCCAGAAGCAAACAGCGAGACCAGATCACGAGCATGCACATCCACATGAACCTGCTGGCTGCCATCTTCCTCCTGGATGTCACCTTCCTCATCTCCGAGCACTTGGCTGCCAGCAGCGAGGCCATCTGCAGGGCTGGGGGGCTGTTTCTGCACTTCTCACTCCTGAGCTGCCTCACCTGGATGGGCATTGAGGGCTACAACCTCTACCGGCTCGTGATCGAAGTCTTCAACGCCTACCACGACCACTTCCTGCTCAAGCTCTTTCTGGCTGGCTGGGGTGAGCACGGGGGAGGCAGAGGCACCCTGAGGGCACGGGGTGGAGGGGCACTCGGGTAGGTCTTTCCCATGGGATGCAATGCCTGGATGGGGATGGATACACAGCTGTGGGGGAGCAGCTGTCTGTCAAGAGCCTTGGGAGGAGGAGGCTTGAAGGCTGAGAGCAGAAGCTGGTGCTAAAGCAAGGGTGGATCATCCTGGGGGATCACCCAGCAGTGAAGATCTGGGAGAGCCACCACTTGGGATCTTTAAATAGCAATAGGATCCTTTCTTTCTAAAGAACCGTCCAGGACAGCCCAGGGCTGGATGCAGGAGGTGTCCACGCTTCTCTGCCATGCTCTGGGCTGGAGGTCATGGCTGGAAGATCTTGTGATCTTTTATGGCCTAAAGCTCCACATCCCTGCGAGGTCCCCAGCTGGGGTGAGCAGCAGCGCTCCCTCCCAGGCTGGGGCTTATGCCAGGTGCCCTTGCTGTGTGTTCCACCCCTGGTTTCCCTTTGGGAGGGAGGATGTTGGCTTGTGCTCTGTGCAGGGAGAAAGGGCCAACGAGTCCTTCCAGAAGGTCCAAAGGCCAGGGAGTAGGGCAGCCACTTCACTCTGCTCCTTCCCCCCAGGGCTCCCGTTCTTCTGCGTGATGACGATCCTCCTGTTTAGCTGGACGAACTACGGCCCCGTCTCCATTCCCATCTATGAATCCATTGATGGCAGAACCACCAACGCAACCATGTAAGTCATGGCAGATGGGTTACCTGGCCTCTGGTCAAGTCAGCTGGCTGAACCCTCACCATGCCTGGGGCTTTTCTGGGGTGTTGTGCCAGGGGGATCCCCCCCCAGCCCCTCCTCCTGACCCTGTGGGAGGACAGTGTGACTCTCTGACCTTTCTCCTCCTCCAGATGCTGGATCACAAGCCCCCTGCTCCATAACACCGTGAACCTGGGTTTCTTCAGCCTGGTGTTCCTCTTTAACTCGGTCATGCTGGGGGCCATGGTACGGGAGATCCTCCGGCAGAACAAAAAAGGTCACAAGCTCAAGCATGTCCTGGCCCTCTTTGGGCTGAGCATCCTGCTGGGCATCCCCTGGGCACTGATCTTCTTCTCCTTCACCTCTGGTGTGTTCTGCCTTGTCTCCCTCTATATCTTCACCATCATCAACTCCCTCCAAGGTGAGCCTGTGACTCTGGGCTCCTCTGAAGAGCACCAGGATTTTCAGGGGTGTTGGCGGGGTGGTGACGGTGTGCGAGACGAGCTCTGGCAGGCTGGGTGGCTCGCTCTCACCTGTGGTTTGTCCCTCAAGGGGGCTCACCCACGCTTCCTCTCCCCTCTGCCAGGTTTCCTCATCTTCCTCTGGTACTGGACCATGGTGCTGCAGGCGAGGAAGTCCCCTGACTCTCAGAGCAGCTCTGACAGTGCCAAGCTGCAGCCCAGCAGCAGCTGAGTCCCGTGGTGGCCGTGCTGTGCCAGAGCTCCCCATGCCAAGGACGGCCACAAGAAGGACCACACCATCTGCTTTGCTACTGCACTTGCCCTGTAGTGCCACCGGGAGCCCAGAGACCCACAGTGGGGCCAGCCACCCTCCCCTCTGCTGGCCCCCTCCTCAATTTTCTCATCCTGACTGGCTTGGCATCCTTGGGGCAGGAGGGAAGGAGGGAGGGAGGGATGCTTACTTGGGTAGTGGGGGCTATAAAAAGTGGAAGGGGCAGGGCCAGGGTCCCCAGTGCCTTTGGATGTCCCCTCCCACATCCTGAGGCCAGGGGTTATGAGGGGAAAGGCCCAGTTTTCAGCCCTTGCTGATGGTCACCATGAGGGTCCTTCCCCAGGGAAGACAGGATGACTCTGCCCCTGCCACACTGTCAGGCAGCTGAAATAATCTATTTTTGTTACTTTGTTGAATGTCTACTATGGGTGATGTAGGAGTTCAGTGAGCATGCCTGCACACCAGATTTGTGCCCATTAAAGTTGTTTCTCTCGGAGTGTGGCTCACTGGGGTCTCTGCTCGGTGCGTTGGTGGGCTCTCCGATGGGATCCACCTCTCATCTGGGTTATCCCATCTCTGGGCAGGACCCAGCATTCACCCTGTAGGATCCTGCTGAGGACAGTGGGACCGATAATGGTGCTCCTGGCAGAGCACTGGCTGCCTGGTGCCATTGGGGTTGGGGTTATGGAGGGAGGTACCATGGCTTGGGAAGTCTCTGGGGACTGTCACTACCCAGCAGAAAGGGACGCTGGTGGAGGACAGGGATCCAAAGAGGGAGACATCAAAGGATGGGAATCATCTCCTCAATGCCTGTGGGGTCAGGCAGAATCTGGCTGTCCTGGCTGTGCCTCTTGAAAACCACATTTCCCATCCCACCCTCCCCTTCCAGCTGGTTGCGGATCACCTCCCTCCACCCAGCTGGGGCAGGGGCACCTTGCCAGCAAGGGGATGTTTCATCCTGGAGGCTTGTAGCAGTGCCCAGTTTAGCATGAGGACGCTCCAGCACTTACTGGGCTGGTTGGGGCCATCAACCCCTCATCAGGAGTGCGGGAGAAAGGGAAAGCAAAAAGCCCTGGGTGGGTCGGGAAGGAGCGCGGCGGAAAGGCTGCGGCTCCGGCGGTTGGTGCCGTTGTGTGAGCTGGGACAGGAGGTCACTTGCCAGCCCACAGGAAGGCGTGAGGGGCTCCCATGAGGGAAATGAGGAACAGCTCTTGCCTCAGAGGTGGCCACAAGCCCTGCGGCAACCAGGGGAGGAGCAGAGCTGCTGGGACAAGGGGAGCAGAGCGTGGTGGGATGGCCAGGGGCAGCCAGGAGACCCCACAAAGTGGCATGAACTTGTTCCTTGGCACTGTCCTGCTGCTCCTGCTGCTGCCTGGTGAGTGGCATCCTTGGCACAGGGGGTGCATGGGTTTTGTGGGAAGGTTTTCCCATGGGAAGGTGTTCACCAAAAGACCAAGTGGAGATTTCATCCTGAAATGTGGACAGGCCAGAGGGGAGCATCTCCACTGGGATGTGCAGAGGTGAGCAGAGTTGGGGGCTTTGTTGCTGGGGGCTTTTTTAAAACCTGGGATCAGCAGAGCAGGGTCTCCTTCGCGAGCCCCTCTGGCAGGCTGGACACGCTGGTTTTGCCCTCACCAGCTCCGATCACTGTCCAGGTGTTTTTGAAGCCCACGTAACTGCAGGACTGTTCCTTCAAAACCTGGCAGCTGCCAGACTCTCCTGCCTTCTCCTCCCCTTTCCCTCCAGAGAGAGGGAGGGCTGACCCTAGATTTTGGCGTTTTCCCCCTTTTCTCCATATCCCCCTCTTCCAGATGTTGCCGAAGGACAGGACAACTGCTCCGGTGAGTGTCCCCTCCCATTCCTACCTTTGCTCCCGATGCCCAGGCAGTGCTGTGGTGCCCGGTGCTCACCTGCTCCCACCCTCCCCAGACCTTCATCGGGGTGACCAGCACGGTGAGTGCTGCAGCGTGGTGCTGGAGCAGCAGAGCCCAGGCAGCAGCACCCGCGTGCTCCGCTTGTCCCAGCACTGTCCGGAGCTGTGGCGCTCGCAGAGCCGCGCCTGCGCCTGCCTCAGGGAGCGCTGGCTCAGGTAGTGGCAGGGCTGGCCATGGCAGGGTTTGTGGGCCCAGTCCCCATGTCCCCCTGTCCCACAGCCCCCTGTCCCACAGGCTGCTGCAGTCGGGGCGGCACAGTGGGCTGGCTGGGCTCAAGACGCTGATCCTCAATGTCAGCAGGGCTGTCACCCGTGACGTCCTCGTCACCTTCTCCCCCACAGAGGTGAGATGTGCCCCTCCCTCTCCCTTGCTTGGAAGGTCCCACAACTTCCAAGCATCCCTCAGCCCCTGCCCCAGGGCTTGGTGTGCCCTGCTGTGCTCTTCCTCCTCCCTGTGGGGCTGCATCATGGGCCCACATCAACTTCAACATCCCTTGGCAAGGAGTCACGTGAAGTGGTGCTTGGGGAGGAAAGAGCCCTCCCCAAGGAGCCATCCCAGCAGCCCAGGTGGTCAGGGGGAGTGTGAGGTAGGAAAGGAGGAGAGACAGGTGTGACCTGGTGCCTCCTGCCCACCCAGAGGCTCTCCCAGGCTCTGGATGTCCCAGGGGACCGTGTGTGGGTGATGGTGGGTAGAGAATCTGCTGGGTCTCACTCCCAGCTCTGTCCCCATGGATGCTGTGTGCTGGGGATGGCTCTTTCCTTCTGCCCTCAGGGCTCCTGCTGATGTTGCTGAGCAAACCCCCCTGAGCAGGGCTGAATTCGTGCCTGGAGCAAGATTGGTGGGTTCTGAAAGGAGATGTGACCCAGCAGCAACAACCTCTCCCTGTTGTTCTCTGCTGCAGGGTCCCAGCAGGCTGAACACCACAGAGAACAGGAAGGCAGGTAAAATCCACCTCCCCAGGGAGATATTCAGGTCTCTGAGTAGCCAAACAGTGCGTGTGGTGGTGACAGTCCTCAATATCCAGCAGCTTGGCATGTTCAAGGTACAGGCTGGCATTGCCAGCATCCTTCCTGCTGCCCCCAGCCCCTGCTGCCCACCAGCTCAGCTCTGGCAGCGTTTCCCCTCCACAGGAAGTCAACCAGACAGCGCAGGTCTTGGACAACACCGTGGTGGGCATCACAGTGGGAGAGCGCAGCGTCTCGGGGCTGCAGGACCCCGTGCAGCTCACGTTCACCCACAGGGAGCTTCCCCAAGTAAATCAGCCCTGCCTGCCCTCCCCTCCCCGCCCGTGCCCCTCCCCGTGGCAGGGGCTGATGCTGCTGCTGTCCCCCACTGCAGGGTGTCACCCCTCAATGCGTCTTCTGGGATCCCAGCAAAGGTGGGCGCTGCTCGGGGCAGGTGTGGGGCAGGGCACAGGTGCTGAACCCATGCTCACAGCTGCTCCTCCGTGCCGGTTTCAGGGCAGGCAGGAGGCTGGAGCAGCAGTGGATGTGTCACGCAGCCTGGGGACAAGGGGACAGTCTGCTCCTGTGACCATCTCACCTTCTTCACCCTCCTCCTGGTGACGATCCCACTCCCTGCAGCTCCTGCTTGTGCCCTGGCCGTGCTGCCTGCCCACTTTTGTGGCCCCTGGGGTGTCATGAGCAGCCACACAGGGACAATTATAGCTGTGCTCAGGCATGCTGAGGTCCCAAAACCAAGCCCAGCCCCAGCTCAGGAGGGCAGCAGCAGGTCAGCTGAGCAGGGCAGGCTGGAAAAGGCTCCAGCTTTGTGCAGGCTCTGGCAGAACAAGGCTTGAGGTCCCAGATCCTGGTGGAGATTCCTAGGAGGGTGCTCATGGTGGTCAACTTCACACACACCTGACCCCACCTCAGAGCATCTCCTCTGAGCCACCACTGCCCTGCTTCCCCTGAACATCTTCTGGGGGCTGGTATGGGGTCTCTGCAGCAGCCCTGGGGCTACCAGCCCCATGGCTCTGCTACCTACAGTCAGGTTTTCTAGGCTGGTCCAGGGCCTGGCTAACCCAACACCTGCATGTTTGGCAGAACCCAGCTCTGGATGGCTCCACAGCCAAAGCTTTGATGGCTGTTGCCACTGCTGGCTGTGGGGTAGCCACAGCTTTCTCCATCTTCACCATGGCCTTCTGCATCTTCATCAGGTGGGATGAGCCAGCAGCTCCACGGGGGCTTGTCAGGCTGGGAGAGACGTGAGGCAGTGCCAGTGGCTCTGCATGGACCTGCTGTGCTGCAGCACAGGGCCTGCTCAGCCGTGACCCTGCCTTTCCTGGTCCCTGTGGGGACACGCAGGTGCAGGTTCAGGTTTGAGGACACCGTCCGCACCAACCTGGGGCTGCACGTCAACCTCGTGGGCAGCCTGCTCCTCCTCAACCTGGCCTTCCTGCTCAACAGTGGGCTCTCTGGCAGGGCCCACCCCAGCACCTGCAGGGTCCTGGGGGGGCTCACCCACTACTGCCTGCTCTGCTGCTTCACCTGGACGGCGCTGGAGGGCTGTCAGCTCTACCTGCTCTTTGTCAAGGTCCTTGGCATCTACATCCACCACTACCTGGCAAAGCTGTGCCTGGTTGGCTGGGGTGAGCAGCCTGGATGGGAGATGGGGGGTGAGAGGGGCAGTGGGAGGTTTGGATTGGATGCTGGGGGAAATTTCTTCACTGAAGGGGCAGTTAGGTACTGAAAGAGGGTGCCCTGGGCAGTGGTGGAGTTACCATCCCTGGAAGTGTTCAAAGATGTGTGGATGTGGCACTTGGGGACATGGTTTAGTGGTGAATGTGGCAGTGCTGAGTTAATGGCTGGACTTGATGATCTTAGAGGTCTTTTCCAACCTAATCAATTCTGTGATTGTGTCTCCCTTCCTCCAGGCTTCCCTGCTCTCGTGGTGGGAGTGGCAGGAGCCATTGGCAGCTATGGAGAGTACAGCATCCAGACCACGGACCAGCAGGTCATAGCCCACCTGTGCGTGTGCCGCTGCCCACAGGGCTCGGGTGGCCCTTTGGCACAGGGAGGGGCAGCTCAGTCCTGCCAGGAGTGCAGCGCTCAGGGATTGCACCCATCTGGTTTGGCTTTGTGCCATGCTTCTGCTTCTGCTTCCTTAACTGTGATTGCCACACATCAGCCACCCCCAGCTCTCATGCCGAACCTCCTCAGTCATGCCTGCAGCCCTCCAGGTCATGGAGGGATGTCCAAGGCCCACCTGGCGCTTGTCCAGGCTCCCTCCCAGCTGAGCAACACGAGGGCAGTGGATACCCACCACTGTCCCCCTGCTCCACCCTGGCTTTGGAAAATCCCACCAGGGGAAGGCTCCCATGGGTGCTGCTGAGGCTTGCAGGGCTCCTGGAGGCACCATGGTTGTCTCTTTTCAGGTGCTGGATCACTTCCAAACATCTTCTGGTCCACTACATCACCAACTGTGGCTACTTCGGCCTCATCTTCCTCTTCAACATGGCTGTCTTTGGGGTGGCAGCCCAGAAGAGCTGCAGCTTGCAGGGCACTGGGGCAGTGCAGGGAAACCGTAAGCCCTGGAAGGTGGCTCTGGTGGCAGCAGGGCTCTTCTGCCTGCTGGGAGCCACTTGGGCCCTGGCATTCCTCACCTATGGCATCTCCTCTGCAGCTGTGCTCTACCTCTTCACTGTCCTCAACTCTCTCCAAGGTCAGCACTCACCCTGAGCTGCGTTCCCTGGGCTTGGGTGGGGAAGATGGAGGAGGCAGAAGCCAGCCTGGCTGTGGGTTGACCAGGGATCCCAAGGCTCCAGTGTCTTCCCAGCACTGTCATACCCTTCCTTTTGTCAGGGCATATCAAGCAGCAGGTCCCAACCACCAGCATGGAGCTGCTCATGGCTCTCAGTTACACCCTCTCCACCCATGGTGGTTTTCCTTCAAGAAAAATATTCCTTAGCAGAGGACTAGGGACATTATCCATGCAGGGCATGTTCCAGCCAAATGGTTCACGTGAAGGAGGGGGAGAGGGAGGAGAGAGCTGAGGGAATCCCCTGGAAGTGAAAGGAAAATGTCATTAGCATCCTGGCAAGATGTTTCCCATTGTCTCCTGCTGCTGCTGAGTGCTTGTCTTCCTCTCCCTGCAGGAATCTTCATATTCATCTGGTTGGTCGTCCTCTACTACCCAAAGACAAAGGAGACCACTGGTTCCCTCTCCTACATCATCAGACATGACAAAACCACCACAGCCTCCCAGGACTAGCTCCTGGCTGGACCTCTCTCCCTGCCTGCAGCTGCAGCCACGGAGAGCCATCCTGGCAGATGCAGCTTCTTCACAGAGGGAGAGATCAGCTAACAGTGCCTCAGTTTACCCTTCAGTGGGCATGATCCACCTCAGCAGGGCTCTTTGCCTTGTCCCTTTCATTCCTGGTGGGCTGCCCTGGGCAAGGAGCTCCAGAGATGATGCTTCTGCAAAGTCCCTCCAGGCTGCAGCTGCATGGTCTTGAGGTGGCCCTGATCTCATTCCCCAGGGGAAAGGAGGAAGCCCACAAAGCCTTGAGCCATGATGGAGCCATCACCCTCTTTGCTACAGGTGGCTTTTGATGCTGAACCAGCCCAGCAGTGAGTTTCCTGCCACTGGAGGGAGAGGATTTACTTGCTCCAGCCCAGATGTGGGATGTTTGCATCTGGGAATCAGCAAAAAGAAGAGGAAGCCCATGAGCTTCTTTGCAAAACATCTCCTTGCTCTCTGGCAGAGATCTACTGCATGTCCTTCCTGCCAAACAGCCTCTGGGGCCAGCAGCAGTTCCCTCATGGACGTGGTGCTCTAGCCAAAATGCACATACAGCTGCCTTGCAGGGCAACTGCTCTCTTCTCCTGATCTGTGTTTTGGTATTAAATCCCTGCCAGCTGTCTGAGCACTGTGAATTTACTCTTTAATACCTGTATTATTGTTTGTTATTTGCTTTATATTATGGATGCATCAATGGGAAAAGTCTTGCTGGCCATTTGCCATGAATGAAAAGAGAAATGTCATGAATGAAGAAATCACTATGGATGGGTACACACACACACACACACACACACACACGTGTGCATGCACAAAGCAGCCCTTTCTCTGCTAATGCTGCATTTGTGTGGCACAGAACTATGCAAAGACCAGCTTTGGTATCTAGAGTGGGGTACTTCGATCTCCCCAAACGCCAGGGTGACTCTGTGGGGGAGAGGGAAGCAGGAGGAAAGACTCTCCCATCCCTGGGTACATATTCTGGCTTTAGAGACTATGGGCCCACAGGGGAGAAGGTCCAAGAGATGCTACAGGGAACAGAAACACTGTGATGCACCTCATCCTTCAAGCACTGTTTGCATCCAGCCATTACCCCCTTCCCCAAAACACCCAAAAAGACACAGCAAGAGCCTCTCTGCTCCTGTCATGTTTATTGGGAAACAGCTGTTTCCTAAACCATTCTCTGCCCCACGCTGACGGCCGCAGCAGCCACAGTGAGCACGGCGAGCACACACAGCAGAATGAGGGCCCTGGAGAGCCACGGGCTGGCTCCTGCCAAAGAGGAGAGAGACTGGTTGTGTATCTGGGTCCCCTGAGCCAGCTCTGAGCCTGGTGAGGCATCTCCTGACTGGGGATAGATCCAGGGAGGTCATCCTGTGACAGGCAGGAGCCACAGGAGCTGGGGGCACTTTGGGATCCTGAGGGCACTAACAGGACTCGGTCACCCCAAATGGCCTCCAGCCACCCTGCTGCCTACAGCTCACCAGGCATGCCTGCTCTGAGCCATGCCGAAGGTGGGCTTGCCCCCAGCCCTGCTCCTGGACTGCTGCTTGGATCTCCTGGACTGACCTCCGTGCCCGGGAGGACATACGTACCTGCTGGGTCCTGCTGGTCAATGCTGGAATGGTGGATCTCTGCTCCTGAGGAAGGAGCAGCCAGCAGGAGGATGGGCCCGTAGGAGACAATCCTGTTGTAGTCATCTGCCAGTGCCCGCCTGCTCCTCCAGTGCCTGGGGCATTGCTGTCAACAAAGCCAAAGAAGGGTGATGGGAGGGCAGGGGAGGGCACTCTGCACCTGGGCCATCCTGTGGATCTCCCTTCCTTTCCCAGGGAAGAGGGAAAGGAGGTCTCTGGTATGTTCAGGCCCCTGTACCTTTGGTGGTCAGGGCTTCTGATTCTGGAAGTGTTTACTCTGTGAGGCACCCAAAACCAGAGCAGAGCCCTTCTCCAAGCAGAGCCAGTGAAGGGAGGTCCCACAGCCACCCAGGACACAGCCCAGCAGGGCAGCTCACCTTGGCAGAGGGCTCTGGGCTGTCAGGAACACAGAGCTGCACACGGCAGTGCAGGAACACCTCAGGGTAACCAACAAACTGAAACATCTGGAAGCTGAACTTGGCAGTAGTGCTCTCTCCAATGGCATTCAGATAGGTCACTGTCTCGTCATGGGGACACCTGGGACATGAGGGCTGGATCAGTGGGTGGCAAACGAGGTGGAGCATCCCAGCCTTGGATAACACATCCCACAGGGAATGGGTGCAGCCCACAGGCCTAATTGAACAGGTCTATTTCTGTCTGGTCCTTGGCACACAGCGGTGTCAGGACACGGGATGTGCTGGGGACACTGCCCTCACCCCTGCTCAATGAGCTTGTGCTGCGTGTCCTGGTGCGGATCCGTGCTCGGCGTGGCCCAGCAGTCCAAAACACTCAGCAGGAAGTACTTGAGCTGGTGCTGCCCTTCCATCTTCAGCAGGACATAGAGTGTGTCCGTGAGGGGGACAGCCACACTGGGCAGGTGATAAGGCTCGAGGTAGGAGGGGGACTTATAGAGTCTCATGCTGACATTGAAGTGTCCTTCTCTGACCACAAGCTGCACCAGCCTGAGAGGAGAGGACAGGATGAGAGCTCACAAACAGAACAAGGAGGTGGGAAGGACATTGCACAGGTGAAGCCACCAGTGCCTGGCATTGCTCTCAGAGCTCTCTAGGGCTCCTTAGGGCCTTTGCAAATCGTCTCACTAAATCTACTTCCCTCCAAGCTCAAAGACACCATGTCAGCAGCCAGGTGAAATGAGAACTCACTTGTCAACAGCAGTGAGAGCGAAGGGCAGTCTCACAACCTGCTCGTAGGCGTAGATGCAGGAGAAGTGCACCTCCAGCCGAAAACTGCGGGAGATCATGGCCCTGTGGGCCTCCTGCTCTGACTTGATGACGTTGGAGTATGAGACATGGGAGCTGTTTTGCTGGAACAACACAGAAATCAAGATCATGACTAAAGCCACATATAGAACTGCAAGTTCAGAAGGCACAACTCAGCTGTAGCTGCTCCAGGCCTGGATATCTGCTGGGCTTTCAGCCTGTGTCTGGGGGCTGCGGGCACAGGAGTCAGCACAGTGGGCACAGGTGAGCACAGGGCTCTTCTGTGCAATGCAGAGCTTGAGCACAATTTTGTTTGTACCCTTGCTGCTCCACAAAGCAAGTCAGAGACCAAGAGGACAGGGCTGCAGAGCTCACAGGATGTCTCCAGAAACATGAGGGCTGTTACCAGTGCACAACGAGACTTCCAAGCTCTCCTAAATAAGATAAAACATGCTGCCAGCAGGGGTTTGGCAGAGGCAAAAGAGCTTTCTGACATCCTCAGGGAAGACTTTCAAAGGGAATGAGAACTTTTCAGCATCCAGATATAAAAGCAAAAGCCTTTGGGGTTGCCCTTTGCTGTCGCACCTCACCACGTCTGCATCTCTCCTGGCTTTGGAACTATGGATCCTCACCTGGATTACTGATCCACAGGCAGTGTGGTTTTCACCTGTGAGAGTGGCTCCAAAAAACAGCTCACCCTCTTCTTCCTTCTCTGAGACCTTGCATGCCTCGTTCTTCAAGTGGACAAGCTCCAGCGGGATTTTCAAGAGCTCAAACACCTCCTTCCTCACCATCATCTTCATGTGCTCTTCCTCACAGGCCAGCTTCAGTACCACATCTGGGGGAAAAAAGCCATCTGCAATAGCAATAAGGGAGAGGCCTGAAGGAGCCCAAGGCCAGCTGGAGGGTGGCACAGTCCCACTGAGCTCAGCAGCCTCTCGTCCCAGCCTTAGCACAGGCTGTAGGGCTCTTCAGAGACACTGGGCAGAAGACAGGCTGGTCCCTTTCGAGGGCTGGCCACACAACCCCCACAGTGTGTTTAGGCCACCAGAGAGACTCTCTCCTTCAGAGGAAGGAAGAGTTTTTGGCCAGTGTCTGGAAGGGGCTTCACTGTATCTGTGCCAGGGTGCATGTGCTTGTTCTGAAACTGTGAGGCAGCTGTGCCCTGCAGCATGCCCTGCTACACCATGGCACAGCCAAGGAATCAAGCCTTTTGGGGAAGAAGAAAATGGCCTGTGGCTGGGTCTTGTACCAGCACACAGCCAGGATATGGTTGTAGGAGTGTGGAATACACCTGAACCAGGAGCTGGGATGTGCTGCAGGGTGGAGAGCAATGGTAACACCAGTTACCAGTTAACCCTGTGCCCATCACCCTTCCCTCTGCTGCCCATGGACAGACTGGGGAGGGTCATCAGCATTCCCAGCCCTACCTTGGCAGAATTCCCCTGTGAAGCCTGGCTTGCAGCTGCAGACTGGTCTGTCCACAGCCACCTGGCACTGCCCCTGGTGCTGGCACGGGTTTGGCAGGCAGGCATCTGGGCTCCTCTTGACACGGAGGGCAAGCCCTGGCCTCAGGCCATGGGTGCTGGCCAGCTCAGCTGCAGCAAAGGCAAGAAAGATGAAATGAGCAAGAATATCTCCCTGATGAGAGATTTGAGAACTCGTCCCTCTGCCGGAAGCTCTGCACAGCTCTCAAGGGCTGAGATCCTCGCCTAGAGCCAGAGCAGACCCTTCTGAGGAAGAACCTGCTGCCTCAGCTTGCTGAGAGTCTGTGAGACCTCCTCAGCCTGGCTGTAGTCTGGACCAGAGCTAAGGGGCCTGTCACTGTCACCAAGGAGCATGGTGGCACATTGCAGCGCCATGGGTTACATACCCTTTGTGGCTGGGGTGGGCAGCCTGCCGTTTCTGCCTATTTTGCTGGCTCCTGGACCCCAGTTCCTGCCTCTCTGAACCCTGTTCTATTGTTCCTCTTTAGCAGCCTTCAGCAGTGCCCAGAATGAGGAACTTGACATGGATCAGGTGAAGGTTTGACCTTTCCTTTCCATACCACCCATCCATGGCCCAGCAGGAACAGAGCACAGGGAGACTCACTCTTGTTGCCTTCACAGCCAGCCAGGCAGAGCACAGAGAGCAGCAGCAAACATCTCACGATCCTTTCCTGGAAAAACAAGCAGGCTCTGGATAACTCAGATTTGTTATCATGCTCACTGGAGATGTCTGCAGTCATTCAGAAAGACTGAAGCCTCAAGCACTGGTGAAATAATTTATGTGTTGCATTTCTATGAAGCAAAGTAATTTCCCATTCCAAAGGGCCAGATCAACCTTCCCCCATCAGGTTAACACAAGGGTCAAACACTATCCTGAATTTAGGTAGCTAATCCAGAAAGGAAGTGGGAGAAATCGGCCCTGGGACCCACAGGGATGTGCTGACAGTGATAAAGCCACATTTTAGTGGCAATTTGAGTAAAGCTGCACAGATGGGACATCAGTCTGGGCTCCAAAGAGGAAGGAGTCACCCTCTTCCCACTACAGCTCTTTTGAAGATTTAGGATTAACAAAAGGATCCTCACTGTTCCAGTAAATCATAACTATAACAAGGAGACAACATGATAATAAAACAAACCCAAAGCTTTGAACACTACTAAAATTAGTGTCAAAAAGACAATCCCTTCTGTTGGTACAGATAATGCATTTCTTAAGGGAAATCACTGGCACAGTGCTGGATCAGCCCTGGACTCCAGGTACTCCTCATCAAGATGTGGATGCAGGTTGGCCAGGACTGGTGGCTGGGCAATGCTCTAAGTGCTCTGAGAGCAGGGCAAAGCCAGTTCCAAAATCCCCCTCACACAGCTCACCCTCCACTGACCCTGAGCAGCTGGACAGGAAGAGTTAATGCCCTGTCTGCTCCTCGCTCGCTGCAGCCATCCTGAGAGATCCCAGCACCTCGTTATCCCGTGCTCACCATTGCCAGGCCGCTCTCTGCTCCTCCATGCACCGCTGCCCCGTTCCTTCCCCTCGGGGAGGCTCGGCACACCGGGGCTGCTCTGTGCCTCCCGCTGGGTGCCTTATATCGCCTGCCGACAGCTCATCCCTCTCCCCCACGCAAACACGCAGCCTTTGGGATTGCACAAGAGCCTGCTTGGCATCCCTCGGAGGCCGGGGAGGAAAGGACTCCCGGAGTCCATCCTCCGGCACGGATGGCCGTGCCCATGAGCCCACAGCTTGTGGATGCTGACCCAGTTCACAGCCCTGAAGGGTCCCAAACAGGGAGTACCAGCAAAACCCTCTGGAATCTGGGGTCTGGGCATCCAGCTGGTTCTGTGGTATCTGTTTTTGATGCAGCAATAACAACAGATACCACAGCGGCACATGCCAAGGCCAGATAACTTTGGGTGCTGAGTACAGGCAGTTTTGGAACCACAACATATATTTGCCTTATCTGTTTTATTTTAAATTGACTTCTGGCATTTAAGAACTGCTGTACTGGTGAGAGATGGAAGGTCCTACCCCACTTAGTTTCATATCCAGATGTGAAATGCACCTGCAAGGACTGAGTCCAATTCCTGGTCCCTGCACAGGACCACCCCAGCAGTGCCACCCTGTGCTTCTCAGAGCATTGTCCAAATGTTCTTTGAACTCTGGCAAGCTTGGGACATTGTGACCATTTCCCTGGAGAGCCTGTTCCAGTGCCCAACCAACCTTTGGGGGAAGAACCTTTTCCTAATATTCAGCCTAAACCCCTGCCCTAAATACAGGTTCATGCCATTTGGGCAACAGTAACCAGCTGCAAACCACATTCATCACTCAAAATGATGCTTCTTGATATATTTTGACTGCAGTCTGTGCATCCTCAAAGCTTTAATTGATATGGTTCCCTTAACAGAGTGCCTAATGAACATCTGCCCATCAATCCATATTTTTTCTTAACCACAACAACAAACAAGAAAAAAAAAGTGTTTAGCATCTAACCCTGCTTACAGTCTAATGAAGTGCCAATTAAGAATAAAGGAATAAAGGAAATAAAGGGGAAAAAAGAGGAAAATGAAAATATAAAAAGGAAAATGAAAAATAAAAAGGAAAAAGGAAAAGGTAAAGGAGAAGAAAAAGAAGTAGAAAAAGATAAGAAAAAAAGAACAAGGTGTCTTGCCATCCCTTGGTGGCAGCTTTTAGATAAGTGCCTGTGCAACAAAGGATCACTGGGGGTGGCTTTTATTTTAAGAGAGCCGAACTCCTGAGTTTCGGAGCGGGTCTCGGAGGGACGGCTCAGCCGTGGCGGCGGGCAGGGGCTGGCCGCTGTCCCCTGCTTTGCTCCGCGCTGTCCCCTGCTCCCAGCGGGCCCGGGGCACGCTGCCGGCGGCCGGGCCGGGACAGCGCAGGGGGTGCGCGGGGGTCCCGAGGAGCCTCCGGGGCCGGGGGCTGTGGCGGGAGGCCTGGGGGGACCCTGGGGTGTTCCGGCAGGGCCGGGGCGCGGGGGATCCGCAGGGCCCGTCCCGGGGAGCCACAGGACCCGTCCCCGGGAGCCGCGGGGCCCGTCCCGGGGAGCCGCAGGGCCCGTCCCCGGGAGCCGCGGGGCCCGTCCCGGGGAGCCGCAGGGCCCGTCCCCGGGAGCCGCGGGGCACGTCCCGGGGAGCCGCAGGGCCCGTCCCCGGAGCCGCGGGGCCCGTCCCCGGAGCCGCGGCGCGGGCGTTGCCATGGTGAGCGCCCCGGAGCCGCGCCGGGCCGGAGCGGCCGCGCTGCCCTTGGAGCCGCGGTGAGGGGGCGGCCGGGCGGGGCAGGGCCGGGGGCGGTGCGGGGCCCCCGGGCAAGGTCTGTGCGTGCCCGCCGTGTGCCCCGCTCGGGGTCAGCCTGACCGCAGGGACGGCACACAAACGCCGCCCGCGCCGGCGGCGATACACGGCAGGCAGTGCCCTTGGGGGCTGCCGGCTCCGCAGAGCGGCCGCTCCCTCCAAGGCCCCTGCGCGGCCGCGGGCCGGGGCACGGCCGGTGCCCAGCGAACTGATGGAGCTGCTGCCCCGCCAGCAGCACCCCAGGCAGGAGGGAGGACACGGGACACGCGGTCTGAATGTGGGGACGTGCTCTGCCCTACCGAGGCAGGCTCTGCGTGCTCTGCATGCCTAGGGTCTGCTGGGACATGGAGCCGCTTATTTACCAAGCCCAGCCCAACTCAGTGCTCTCCCTTAACTCTCATGGTTCTGGCTGCCCCAGCCATGCTCATATACCAAAGCACTGTGGCCACGATGGGAGTGTTTCTCTGTTCTTGTGTAGCTGGGTCCCACGCCCGAATTCACCCTGGTGTGTGCATTCCTGTAGTGCCAGGCAGAATGGAGGCACTGGAGGAGAAGGAGGAAGTGGAGCAAACACCAGAAGATGCGATCTCTTTGAATATCAGTGATTTCCTCGGTGAACTGGAGGAAGCCTCTGTCATTAGCAATGCATCGTAAGTCTCTGCACATGGCTGGGATGAGCAGAGATGTTCCCTTTGAGCCCCACAGGGTGATTGCACACGTGTGGGTGGCACATGTGGTCCCCTTGCACAGGGATGGGAGTGAACAAGTTTCTTGTGCCTGATGAGTTTGTCCAAGATTGTGGGTGTGCAAGTAAGACAAGGTAACTCATTTGATTGAGCATCCATTCACCACTGTATAAAGACCCCCCAAGACTCTGGGATTTGCCATTGCTGCAGAGATGTTTGGCTATGTCAAAATCATATCCTTGGAAATGGCCCCATTTTTTACCTGTGAAACAGGGAAGCCCTGCCATGTTTTGATATCAGGTCATCCTGCCTGTATTGCTCCTGGCTTATTACTCGTGTCTCTCTGCCTCCCCCTGCCACGTAAGTGATTTTGACTGGAGCTCCATTGACACATCCCACTTGCCATCTTCGTACAAGACAAATTCCCAGCAGGAAAAGGAGCTGCTGCAGCTGGCTGACCATTTCTTCCAGCAGTACACTCACCTGTGCCCTGACCGCAAGCCGCTCTTCATCCACCCGCTCAACGAGTGTGGTGTGCAGGTATGGGGTGTGTGGGGCTGGGCCACAGCACAGCAAGAACTTGGCTTCCACAGTGCCAAATGCTGTGTAAGAACAGCAGCTCCTCCTGGCTAAAGGGAATGTGAAACTGCTGGCTGAATCCACAGCTCCTGAGCGAGCACACAGAACCCCAGGAACACCCTGGTTGTCCAAATCCATGAGCCATATAAATGTTGGTGTTGCCATGTGGGCTGCAGTGTGATGCTTAGGAAATAGGAGAGACCACAGAAGCATAAAGGGAAGGAAAAGAAATACATGAACTAAGATAAGGCTCAGGCTCAGCCACAGATAGGGATCCAGAGTTAGGTCTTACTCTGAACTTCCCCAAAGTTACAGGGAAGGAGTAAGTGTGGAAGTTTGTGGTCTGGTTTTGTTTTCTCTGGGCCCAAGCTGCACAACTGTTTTCTAGTTCTGGACCTGATGTTTCCCCCCAAGGCACCTGGAATTGCTACTTTGTACCAGCTTTCCCCAAAATTTGTTTTATCATTAACATGCAAGGCAAAAAAAATGCTAGAGGATGTAAAAGCCAGAAAAGGCAGTAGCTATTTGACTTGCTTGAAAATGAAGAGAAGAACTGGCTCACATCTGGAATGTGTCTGAGATGAGGCTGAAGTTTCAGCCATAGGCAAGCAGACAGCCTCCCTGCCCCATGAAATTTCCATCTTGGAACCGGAAAAGGGATATTGATGCTGTTGATATGCTATAGAAAGATCCTGAATTTGATCTGCAGCATCCAGGGGTAGTCTGAGGATGGCTTTGGAGAGGAGACTCTCCCAAGGGCCTGTTGGCTAACCAAACTCCTCTTGCTGTCCTGCAGAAGTTTGTGAGCACAACGGTGAGGCCAACCCTGCTGCCTTACCCAGACATGTACTACTGGTCAGGCTGTGCCAGCTTTGTCTCTGACTACCTCATCATGGAACCCCTCAAGTGCCCAATCACACCGGTAAGAAAGGGGCTGCAGCCCCAGCAGAGACATAAGAGAGGTGACAGAAGGGCCGTTCAGCAGGACACAGTGGGGAGTTCCACTGGCTGGGATCACAAAGGTCTTTGACACTTCCACCCTCCCACACTATTTAGGCAGCCCCCTGATTTTCCTAGACCCAGTGCATTCTGTTGGACCCACAGTCCCAGTGCATGTGCAGTGTGGTACCTTTTAAATAATTAAGCACCATTTCTTCAAGAGTAGACCCTGCCTTCAGGCAGCCCAGATGAGCAGCTGGAGCACTGTGGGAGGCAATGGCTGACAAGCTTCCCCTCTGAAAACCTTGGAACAGAGGAGCACATAAACCCTAGGGGATGATACTTGACCTCAGTGACCTGTTCTTACGCACTTTTTGGTATTTCTGTTCCCATATCTGGGTATATTTTGGGATGGCTGAAGGGAGATTTCTAGATTAGCAAAAAGGGATGATGCCAGAGTTGGGGCAAGTTCTTGATGAGAATCAGCTAAGAGAACACACTCTTTGCTAGCAAGGACTGCAGAGTGACCTAAACAATCTATACCAGCCAGAGGCTGTCCCAAGAGCCCCAGGGTCTCAAGAGGAGCTCTGGCACTTTGTGACTACACAGAAAGTATCTCCATTTAGCAGGTGGAAACTGCCTTGCTCACCTTAGGTGATGTCTGAGAACTGAGTGGGATTAGAACCTCTCTGTATGCAGTATGTATGTACTGATACTTTTTATTGCTCACCAGTAAGGGCCAGAAGGAAGTATGTTTCCTTCTGTGAACTATAATTTAGCTTATGGGTGGTTTCTTTGGAAGTACTGTAGACAGGACAGCAGGAGATAGAGGGAAATCCCATTGCAGGATTGTTATTAGCATTGGGTTTTCAGCAGTTTGATGAGTTTGTCATGTCCTTCCCTTTCTGTGGTTAAATTGTCACCAGATTTGGGGTTAGAGTTTCCCCAGATCGCTTTGGAGGGGAGTTTTAAAGTCAGTGGCTTTTAAAGGAATGTTACATAGCAGATTCCCACAGGATGCAGAGCCCAGGGATGTGGGCAATGCCTCTCTCCCCTGCTCTCTGCCTGGTGCATGTTTCTGCTCCACAAGACAAGCACTGTGAACGTGATCTCTCTCTTTCAAGCCCAGCTCCCTCTATTCCCCAACCACCATTCTGAAGTACCAGCGAGGGAACTGCTTTGACTTCACTGTGCTGCTGTGCTCCCTGCTGATCGGGGCTGGCTACGATGCCTACTGTGTGCATGGATATGCCACCCTCGAGATCTGCTCCCTGGACCAGACCCAGGAGCTGTGCCCACGGCTCAGGAAGCCCCCAGAGGTGAGATCTGCACTGAGTGGGCAGAGAAGAGTCCAGCACACATTCTCAGCCTGTTCATGTCCAGTGAGCTAGGGGGAGCAGCTTCAGGTCCACACTGGGTTTTAGTCTGTATCAGAGACCTCACCAAAGGAATCTTTTGGGTGATTTTCTACAGCTCCTTTCAAGGCCTTTTTGCCTTCACTGAATTTCTGCTCACCAAGTGCAATATTGCAAACTGCCAAGTGTTGGGAACTGGGGGATACCTGTAAGCCATAAATTTACTTCCTTCTCTTGATCTCTGCTGGGTTTCACAGTAATACCCTGCTTTTGCAGGTACCAGAAGAGGAGGATCCCAACAAGTATAGAATTAAGTACCCCATAGAGCCACAGAGCCAGTTTGAGCTTCAGAAGGAGGCCAAGGAGGAAGAAACTGAATCAATACAAGAGGAGGAAAGAGAAGAGGAGGTGGTCGTGGTGAGTTAGCAAGGTCCACTTCCCTGTGAGCTCCAGGAAGAAAAGCTGAGACACAGGTAATGGCTGGCCAAAGAGAGGAGTCACACCCTCCTCTGTGAAGTGTGACACGACCTTGATCATGGCCATGAGTGCTTGGCCTCCAGGAGCACAGTGTGTGCTGGCACAAGGACATGTGCTGAGAATGTACTACCTCACTCTTAAAGAGCATTAAGAGCCTGGAGTTCTTTATAAGTGGGCAGAGGAAAGGATAAGATTGCCCTTGGGTTGGAATAAGGTGTCAGTGAAATGGCAATAATTATTGCTCTATCCTCTGTGCTACAGGAGGTGGAAAAGCCCAAGCGAGACCCTTTGCATGGCTTACGGGTGCACGCATGGGTTCTGGTTCTCTCTGGGAAGAGGAAGGTTTCCGAGACCTTCTTCATCAACCCGTTCACAGGAAACCACCACAGCACCACAGATGAGTGCTTCCTTGGGATTGAGAGCATCTGGAACCACAGGAACTACTGGGTGAACATGCAGGACTGCCGCAAAGGCTGCAAGGTAGGGAGCCCTTAGCACCCTGCCTGGGCACGTGAGGGACAGCTGGGCTAACCTGAGTCCTGGGGAAGTCCAAGACCAGTGGTGGTCCAGTTTCCATTTAACCATTCCTTATGTTGGTTTTGGTCATTTTGCTCTGATTACATAGACTATGGAACTATTCCAGGGCATCCCAGACTCTGAGCTAGCAAATACAGATCACATCTATTAAATCCCTACAGTGCAAGAGTTTCAGCTTTTAAGGCTGGCTAGGCATTCCTTCTCTCAAACAACAGGCAGAGGATATTTTGGGTCTGTCAGGCATAGCTCAAGGAAGGTAAAATCTTGATTCAGCTCTTACTACACTTCAGCTACTCCCCAGCAGACACAGAGTCTACGAGGTGAGGGTCTGAGTTAGATCAGCTTGCTTCCCCCTGCGGCCATACTTGCCCGGAGGAAGGAGGCAGAAGCATTTCCAGCCATTTCCTCTCATCTGAAGAAGCAGCACCACGAGGAAGGAGTTCTGCAACCTCTAGGCACAGGAACATCTTTGGGGTCCCACCAGCTAGCCAAGGGTTTGAGGAGCTCATCTCCCTGAGGTCCAGATCTCTAGAGTTCCTAAAGTCTCTGACACCGAGGCAGGTCCAGAGCACCACAGACATATTGAAGCAGTGGTCAAATTTAGTGTCAGGCCTTTGACAATGCCCTGTAGTTAAAAGAGTTTTTTCCTGTATGCCCTAGGATCTCAGCTTTGACTTGAGTGATTCTTTCTGCTGGGAAATCATGTTTTCAGAGAGCAATGAGGCCTCTCAGTTGCCCACAGAGTCACCCAACAGCAACACAGATGACACGGT